AGCGAAACATGACTCAGTACCTCGCGAACTACATCTTGGAACCCAGAGTGGTGAGGACGTTTTAAGCGAAACGGGCCAGAGCACCTCAATTCAGGGCATCTCGAAGCCTGGGGTTCCGAGGATGTCTCTGGCGAACAAAGTAATGAGGATGTCTCAGGTGAAACGGGACTGAGCATCTCAAGTCATGGCATCTCGAAGCCTGGTCTTCTGAGCATGTCTCACGCAAAACGGGCCTGAGTATCTCGCGAACCATATCTTGGAATCAATAAGTGTGAGGACGTCTCAAGCGAAACGAGTCAGAGCACAACAAGTCAGGGCATCTCGGAGCCCAAGGCTCCGAGGATTCTCTCTGTGGGCCTTGGGAGCACCCAGCCCTTTTGAGGGCAACCCCGCAGCGGCACCTCTCCGGCACCGCCGTTGGGGTTGCTGGGGTCGCCCAGAGCTGTCCCTGGCGGCCCCAGAGCCCTGGCTCAGGTGCACTGCACCCCCGCCAGCCAAGGCAAGCCCTGGATGGGGCCCAAAACAACCCCAAAAGCCAACTAGTGCAGCCAGCGAGGACCCTACGGCTCCGAAACACACCTCCCCCCCGTAAAACGAACGAGCCGTTCGAGACATCCCCACAGTCTGGGCACGAACGGGCCCGTGACACACCCTTCAACGGCGGAGCACCAGCCCGCATCACCAGGCACGATCGAGCCGCGTCCAGCCCTGGCGACGAGAGAGACGGGCTGACTTGGCATCCCTCCGCCCACGTCGGCACACCCGTCATACGGGTCGCGCCCCACAGGGAACTCCACCTACGTCCCCAGCGACAAGGTTCGCAGAATGGCACGCCCCTCGGGCGGATCGTGCCCCGCAAGCCCAGCTCACTTCGGCACACGTATCACATAGATCGTGGCCCGCCAAAAAAATCCACGGACGGCTCCAGAGACAAGTTTCGCATCCCGCCCCCCCGCCTACGTCGGCACACCTCTCACACGCATCGTGGCGCGCAGGGATCTCCATCTACGGTCCCAGAGGCAGGGTTCGCACTGCGCCCTCCCCTGGCAATTGCGGCACAGCACCATCACGCGGATCGTGCCCACTAGGAGCACCACCTAAAAACCAAGAGACATGGTTCGTAAAGCGCCCCCCCGCCCATGTCGGCACAACCGTCACGCAAATCATACCCCAGAAGGAGTTCCACATGTGGCACCAATTGGCAGCTTCGCATGGCGTCCCCCTGCCCGTGTCAGAAGATGCCTCGCACGGGCTGTGCCCAGAGGAGGTCCACCTGCAGCCTCAGTGAGCGTGTTCGCGCGGGGGGGAACTGAATTAGTTGGCACACCCTTCAGGAGGGCCCAGGAGGGCCAGGAGGCCCCAGGAGGCTTCTCCAGGCGGCCCCAGGAAGCGGCTTCCAGGCGGCCCCAGAAGGCTTCTCCAGACGGCCGCAGCAAGCGGCCCCAGGAGGGCTCTCCAGGCGGCCACAGGAAGTGGACTCCAGGCGGCCCCAGAAAGCTTTCCCAGGCGGCCCCAGGAGGCAGGCGGGCCAAGGAGGCGTGTCCAGGCGGCCGTGTGAGGCGTCTCCAGGCGGCCCCTGAAGGCCTCTCCAAGCGGCCCCAGGAGGCGTCTCCAGGCGGCCCCGGGAAGCGTGTCCAGGCAGCCCCAGGAGGCGTCTCCAGGCGGCCCTGGAAGACTTCTCCAGGCGGCCCCGGGGAGCGTCTGAAGGCGGCCCCAGGAGGCGTGTCCTGGCGATGGGAGACCTCGGTGAGGTCACGCCTTCACGGTGCTGCTGGGGCTTAGGGGTTCCGTTATTCTCGACGACCCCCGAGCCGTGGACAACAAGAACGCGACGGGGAGCTCTGCCACCTGCGGCCTCCGGGCGCCCTCGCCGGGCCTCGGGACAGTCCGCGAAGAGCCAGCCCCGGGGAACGGGTCGAGACCTCTGGGGGCCCACGTCACGAAGAGATCACGACGTCGCGGGTCTACGGGCCCAAGTGATTGGAGAGCTCCAAGACTGGATCCAAGGAGATGGGGTCGGAGGATCGCGCCGCATCGGCCATGCATCGGCGATGCATCGGCGATGCCTCGGCGACGTCTGCGACTCATCGGCGACGTCGGCGTGAAGAAAATCGGGCTCCGCATTGAGCCGCATCGGCGATGCATCGGCGACGCGGCGCGACCGTCCGACCCCGTCTACTCCGGCCTCATCTGGGAGGGCTAGAATTATCCAGTGGGGGGGGGGAAGTGCCGGCCGATAACCCGACCTTTTCGCTTCGGCTTGGGCAGCCCCACGCGTGGCCGTGCACACCAGTGCTGTGTACTACCCTTCGGACCTGCGCAACCAAGAAGGTCAGGTTGTCCAGGGGAGGGGGGGGGGAAGGGGGTGCGGGCGGGCCCGATCACCCTGAATATCGCCAGGACCTTCCAAGAACAGTCCCCTCCCCAGGGACTGGATTTTCGTCTTGAGTCGTTTCTGACGGCCCCGTTGCACGGCGGGAGCCCCCGACTGCAGGACGCTGCCAACAACCTCCCTTGATGCTCGTTTCGCGACACGAGGGCGCCAATGTTCGGCGTCTTGATTTCCGACCCGACAGGCTGGGGCTGATAAATCCCACCAGGCCTTTGGGCGACGGTGGTCCAAAGAGTTCTTTTCTCTCCTCTTCCAAAGCCCACTTTCCTCCGCTTGCCATCGCTCGAACGTCCATTCCCCGTGCATTGTTGCGGTTTCGTGCGCTTATATCGCGCACGATGATCCAAGATGCTCCTCGATGGATCTCACAGAAAAATATGCTCACGTCCGAGCGATGCCAAGTTCGGGGAGGGGTACCCTCCCCCTCGCCTCCTGAGGTTTTTCGGGGGGTTATGCGGTGTGTTTGGGGGTCCTTTTTCGCCCAAGATGACTACAAGAAGGCCTCCGATGCTCCAAGATGGCCTACAAGGCGGCTCCACATAGCCGAAGATGGTTGAAGATAGTTTCCGCAATTCCTCCAAGAGGCCCGACGAGGGCCACAAGACGGTTCCAAGTGCTCTCGGAGCCCCAAGAGGCCAACAGCTTTCAACAACCATAGGAAAAAACTGATTGTTGCCTTCTCGCCTTTTTCGCTTCCCATGCGCTTTTGAGGAATCCAGATGGCCCAAGAGAGACCCAAGGGGGGCTCAAGAGGTCCGCTAGATGGCCCCAAGAGCGTCCAAGAGCGTCCCAAGAGCGCCCCAAAAGGGGATTTTGATGGCGCCAGGGTGGGGCGGAAATCGCGGAATCCCACTCCTTTGATCGATAGCCTCCAAGACGGCCTCAAGAGGCCCTCCAGGGCTCGGCCCTCCAGGGCTCCCAAGAGGGCCCCAGGACGGCACCAAGAGCGCTGATTAGCGCCACAAGAGCATCCCACGAGGGTCCCAAGAGGCGGTTTGCCTCCTCCTCGTCCTCCTCCTTCTCCTCCTCCTCATCCATTCCTTTTCCTTATAAACAACTTCTCCCTGTCGCACCCCGAGGCCAGTTTTTAGGGCGGGCCGGGCGTTGCGCCTGAGACTTCCTCACCATGTATGACGCTGAAGCTTAAACATTGGCAGCAGTTTCACAGATAGAGGGCGGGCCGTTTTCAAAATGTGGCTCTGGCATTGTTTAAGTTGCAAGAGTTTCACGGCTTGAAGGCTAATCGTTTTCAACATGTGGCTCTCGCCTTAGCGCCGCGCACATTCGTTTTCAAATATTGCAAGGGCTTGGTGTATTGAGGGCGGTTCCTTTTCAGACACTGGTCCTCCTCCTCCTCCTCCTCCTCCTCCTCCTCCTCCTCCTCCTCCTCCTCCTCCTCCTCCTCCTCCTCCTCCTCGGTCGGTCGGAGCAAAAGGCCAGCTCGGATCGAAGCCTCTCACTCTCTCCTCCTCCTCCTCCTCCTCCTCCTCCTCCTCCTCCTCTTCCTCCTCCTCTTCCTCCTCCCCTTGTCGCAATTATCCATGGATCTGCCGAGCTCTGTTTCACTATATCTGGCTCCTCGTGTCTTTTCCCGTCAGCTCTCACGGGCAGGGTTCTTGTACGGTCCTGGTGGGATGAACGAAGCGTGAAGAATTCATAAAAAAAAATGTCCCGACCCGCCTCGCACACCCTGCATACCGCGGCCGCCAGGCCCCAAGCATGTGAACGTGCTCTTATTCGGCGTTTCGACATTGGGCGGAAGGTGTGGGGATGGGGGGGATCTGGCTCGGGACCTCTGCTTAAGGCGACTGTTTGCAGCAAAGCGTCCTATGGCTTTTGTTTTCCCCCCCTCGCGTCGCTGTGCGTCGCTTCTCCCGCGGGAGGCACCTTGCTGAGAGGCGACTACGCTTGCGGAACCGCGGCGAAGGGTTCCAAGCTCGACCACGTCGGCCCTTGAGCGCCCAGACCCGTGGAGAAATAAACGGCCGACGACCCTCACCGCGAGGCCGTCTCTGGCGATCCGCCGGCCGCCTGAAGCAATGCCGCGCGACGCGCCCCAACAGCGGGTAGACCCGCGCGTGTCGGGGGGTGGGCGCAGGGCGAGGCCGCCGGGGCGGCGTAGAAGCCGAAACCGACGAGAGCCCCCGGGAGCGCCTTCGACGAGGCGGGGCCTGAGGAAAGCACCCCGGAGGCACTCTGGTGGTTTGCTGCAGCAGTGCGTCCTGTGGGGGAGACCCCACATGCCCCACCAGCTTGAAACACGAGCCGAAGACAGCCAAAATCTACTCCATGGGAGGGAGGGATGGTGCGAGGGCCCGCGCCGATCGGCAAAACAAGGCAAAAGAAAACGACCACCATCCCAGTTCTTCCTGTGTATCCCGCCTCGCGTCTTCGACGAATGGCGACAGCATGCCACGGCCACCAGGCCCAGAGGAGCCTGTTGCTACCTGGGTATATCCCTTGCGTTCGAGAGGTCCAGACGGGGGTCATGGATCTGGATACGGTCCCTCCCCCCATACTCGGGCTGGTAGTTATGGGGGGTGCCCCACATGTTGTTCTTCGTTTTGAGAGCGGCGACGGGACAAAGCCGCTCGCCGCACGCAGCAGTCTAACACTGCAGCTGCAGACCAGAGGCTTCCATCTCCGTGAACCTGTTCAAGAGCCCAGGCAGTGTCCACGCCCTACCTTGCCACTCGATGCTTTCCTCGGTCAGGAAGGGTGCCACATGCTCCTGCACCGCCTGAGCCAGCATAACAGATATGTTCAGTTCAAGGTCAGTGCCTCGCGCGCAAGGCATAACCGAATACCCACTCTCTGTGGTGAGATCAAAGTTGTATCTGAACCGCTCCGCGAACACGTCCGCCATATCGAATCCAGTACTTGCTGAAACTCCGAAAACCTTGATCTTGATGGGCATCGCCCCAACGTGGACGGACACTACCCGTGGAAGCTCATTGCTTGAACAGTTGCTCATAATGCTGAGCCGCCAGGGGAGGTTGCTCCACTCCTGAGGGAATTTGAGGGCGTGTGAATTGACGGTGAGCTTGATCTTCTCCCAGTCGTCCTCGAAATCAAAGAACAAGTCCGAATTATGAATCCGAAAACTTGCCGACGAGATGCGCATCGTGTTGACGCCCTCGACGTAGTGCACCGTAACGGACGTAAAGCCCTGTTCCCCGACGTATATCGAGCCGTCCTCCAGGCGCTGCAGCTTGGCAGGCGCACGGGTGCAATCGCCGAGCACCTCGGGCAGCGCCGGGTCCATCAGGTGCCGCAGGGCTTCCAGGTTGCCCGCCAGCGCTCGGTTCAGCATGGACATCGACAGGCGCACGGCGATGCCTGATAGGCCCGTCGAGGCGCCCACGTCGCGGAAGAAGGGCATTGCCGTGTGGCAGCCCGCGTCCAGGCGAAACAGCCAATCCACATCCTGCCAGCTGCAGGCGAGGTGCCCGTCGCCCATGTACAGGCTGATGTTCAGAGACCCGATGCTGCCCGTGGTGAGGAGGGCCACCCTGACACCCTTGTTCTGCACCGGCACGTCTCGCCCCGCGGCAGTGGCCGCGGCGGCCGCTTCCACGGGGACGGGCCTGCGGAGCTCTAGGGCGCCGAGTCGGATCGTTTGGAAGTTGGTCACCCAGCAGACCCGAATGGGCAGCCCGCCCACCGAGGCCGTTGTACAGCTCCATCTCCGCGCAGGGCGGCACGGCGCCCGAGGAGCTGGCCGCCCCGCAATCGCCGACGGTCGCCGGGAGCCTCTGCCGCAGGATATCCTGCAGCTCGGGCTGCTGCGCACCCAGCCCGCCCACAAAGTCCGACAGCTCGAGCGCGGCTGGCCGCTGCCGCAGCAGCGCCGCCGAGACCGCCCCGCCCGCGGCAACGGCCAGCAGCGGAGCAGACCTCCAGCGCGCGGCGGCGAGCGCCTGGGAATCCGCGGCGGCGGTGCCGGCAGCCGCCGCCGCGCCCGCGACAGGCGACACCTCGCCGTCCGCGGCAGCACCGTCCGCGTCGGGGTCGCACGCCGAAGGCCGCCCGATGACGGCGCCCACGGCGCCCGCCGCGTAGGGTTCCGCCGCCTCCGCCGGGAACGCGGCGCGGTAGCCGATGTGGCACGAGAGGCCGCCGGTGACCATGAGCGCGAACATACCGCTGGGAAGCATGGGGTCCATGCTCTCCCAGGAACGCAGGCTGACTATCGCCACGAGCAAACCCATGGCGAGCTCGTCCAGCATGCTCCACTCCCAGAGGGCACCCGCGGCCGCGGAGGCGCGGCCCTGCCCTTGGAGGTGCGCCACCAGCGTGCCTGGAGGGACGGCAGCACGAGCGCCAGCAGCGCCATGACGATCCTGGCTGGCGCACCAGCGACCCGCCACACTCACAGCAGCACGTCCAGGAAACTCGGGTCGACTAGATCTGCAGTCACAAAACGCCAGCGCTGCCGAACAATAATTCGCCGGCCCACTGGAGATCTCCGGTAACTGGTTAACAATATTTCTAGTTCGCGCGCGCGGGGCGCCCCACGGGGGTCCCCAAACGAAAAGTACCCCGGCAAGGTCCCGGGCGGTCCAACTCAGGGATGGTTTTCCTCCTGGGCGCCGCCCTCGAGGCCCTCCAAAGAAGGGCCGCGAGGCCGCCAAGAGCACCCCAAGATGGTTCAAGAGTGCTCCGAGATGCCAAACGCTCGCTTCAAGACGCCCAAGATGGCTCCCAGACGCCCCAACAGGCTCCCAAGAGGCGTCCCAAGAGGGCCCCAAGAGGCAAAAGCCGTCCCATTCCTTAAGCAAAACGTATATGTTTCGCATATTCGCCACTTGAGCTTTCACAACGCCAAAAGCGGCCCAAGAGGCCCCCAAGATCGCCCAAGAGGCCCCCAAGAGGGCCCCCAAACCCCCCCAGAGGGCCCCAAGACCGAGGCCTCCAAGACAGCTCAAAAGGCCCCCAAGACGGCTCCAAGAGGGGGTCCAGACGGGAGACCCGCAGGAGGCCCCCGAAAGGCCCCCAAGAGGCCCCAAGAGGGCCCCAAGAGGCACCAGGAGGCCCCAGGAGGCCCCCCAAATGCCCCCCCAAGCACGCAAGCAAGTGCCAGCGATGCTACAATATGGGCCGGCGGAATGAGCGAAGCGATTGAATAATAGGCCTGAGGCACGCCCAGGTGATGCTGGCGGCGAAGCCGACAGAGCGGAGCAGCGCTGTGGCGATGCCCAAGCGGCTGCTGGGCGGCGCCTATGCAGCCGAGGCCCCATGGGAGATGATCTGGGTGCCCATGAGGGACAGCAGCGAGAACATAGAGAAGCACCATGCCCCCAACTGCGGCGTGACCGACAGCACGCTGGAAGAGAGGGACAGCGTAATTGCCAGCACGTACACGTCTACGCACTGATACTTCGACATGCGCCTCAACATGATGCTGCCCAGACAAGCCCGCCGCAGCAGAATAACCATCTTAATGATGGGGAGGATCACAGTGAAAAACATAATCATACATCCTTCCTGGTAGTACCCCCAGCGTAGCGTGTCCGAGATCACCTCCAGCGTCGATTGGGAGCGCTGGACGCCGCTGATGGACTCCACGCGCACGAGAGGGAGCACCAGACCTGGCACCAGAGCGGCGTATGACGCAACGAACAGGAGCGCAGCCAGGCAGTTCCAGTTGAGGCTCGGCATTCTGGCGCCACTGCCAACACCATCTACAAAACAACAAACAGGATCGACCCACGAACCCGGAAAGGAATACAGAAATGTAAGACATGGCAACGTTTCAAAGACACCTGATTGGGCGACGGGCAAATGCAATGCTTAGTGTATCGACCTTGATGTACCGTGCCGAGGGCTGTGCTGTGCTGTGCCGTGCTGAATTGCGATGTGCCATGCCACGAGTGTGCTCTATAGCGTTGTGGATCGAGTCCTCCTTTGCATCCGAGTCCTGACCGAACTGATCTGGATCTTAAGCTCGAGCTGCCTAAGCACATAACTAGTAGCTGCCCCAGAGTTGATTGACAAGGGAACATGCCAGGAGGACGCGCCGCAGAACGTCCCAAGGGACGCGCCAGACGACGTGCCAGGGGACGTGCCATGGGGACGCACCGCGGGACGTGCCAAGGGGACGCGCTACGGAATGTGCCAATGGACGTGCCATGGGACGTGCCAAGAGACGCACCAAGCGAGGTGCCAGGGGACGTGCCACGGGGACGCACAGCGGGACGTGCCAAGGGGACGCGCTACGGAACGTGCCAATGGACGTGCCACGGGACGTGCCACAGGACGCGCCGCGCGACGTGCCAGGGGGACTCGCCACAGGACGCGCCACGGAACGTGCCAAAGAACGTGCCAAATTGCAATGCTGAGTGAGTGTATCGATCTTGATATACCGTGCCGCGGGCTGTGCTGTGCTGCGCCGTGCTGAACTGCGATGCGCCACGTGACGATTGTGCTCTATAGCGTTGTGGATCGAGTCCTCCTTTGCATCCGAGTCCTAACCGAACTGATCTGAATCTTAAGCTCGAGCTGCCTGAGCACATAGTAGCTGCCCCAGAGCTAATTCACGGGGGGCATGCTAGAAAGACGCGCCGCCGAAAGTTCCAAGGGACGCGCCAGGCGACGTGCCATGGGGACGCACCGCGAGACGTGCCAAGGGGACGCGCTACGGAACGTGCCAATGCATTATGGACGTGCCACGGGACGTGCCAGGGGACGCGCCGCGCGACGTGCCAGGGGGACTCGCCACAGGACGCGCCACGGAACGTGCCAAAGAACGTGCCAAGTTGCAATGCTGAGTGAGTGTACCGATCTTGATGTAATGTGCCGAGGGCTGTGCTGTGCTGCGCCGTGCTGAACTGCGATGTGCCATGCCGCGATTGTGCTCTACAGCGTTGTGGATCGAGTCCTCCGTTGCATCCGAGTCCTGACCAAACTGATCTGGATCTTAAGCTCGAGCTGCCTGAGCACATAGTCCACGCAGTAGCTGCCGCAGAGCTAATTGACAAGGAAACATGCCGGGAGGACGCGCCGCGGATCGTTCCAAGGGACGCGCCAGGCGACGTGCCAGGGGACGTGCCACGGGGACGCACCGCGAGACGTGCCAAGGGGACGCGCTACAGAACGTGCTGGGGACAAGCGTCGTGTTGGTGGCCTGGACACGTAAAAACACGGTGCCAGCTCGGGACAACCATGAGAGATACCCCCTGGGTGGCCTGGACACGTAAAACACGTGGTTCCAGCTCGGGACAATCATGTTAGAGATCTCCCTGGGTGGCCTGAGCATGAAAAAACACGTGGTTCCAGCTCGGGACAGCCATGTTAGATACCCCTCTGCGTGACTTGGATACGCTGAATTCGCGCTCCCGCTCGAGACATCCTCACAACGTCTTCCCTGGAGAGGCCCCCAAAGCGCACCCCCCTGTTCAGAGCAAGAAGCCATCACTTTTCCTCATAATTCGGCGTTGGGCCCGACGCCATGTTAGATACCCCAACTCTGCAAAACCAGCGTTTCGCTCGAGACATCCTCAACAAATTCTGAAAAGCAAGCGTTTCGCTCGAGACATCCCCCAACTCTGCAAAACCAGCGTTTCGCTCGAGACATCCTCAACAAATTATGAAAAACAAGCGTTTCGCTCGAGACATCCTGTCAAAATCCCAAGAAATATAAATTCCTGCGCGCGGGGCGCGGCACGCGCGAGACATCCTCAGAATTCCTTGGGGCGCTTTTCCGTGTCGCGGTCGGCTCTGCAAAACCAGCGTTTCGCTCGAGACATCCTCAACAAATTCTGAAACCAAGCGTTTCGCTTGAGACATCCCCAACTCTGCAAAACCAGCGTTTCGCTCGAGACATCCTCAACACATTCTGAAAAACAAGCGTTTCGCTCGAGACATCCTCAAAAATAATTCCGCCGGCCCTACTCCCGCACGTAATTTATCGCAGAATAATTTCGCCGGCCCTACAGCCGTCGAAACCGGGGGGAACCAACTAAAAGAGAACCCTGGGCTCGAGCCCTTTCCGGGAAAAAAGTTGGGGGTTTGAAGCAGACATCTTGAGCCAAAGTGGCCACGGACCTACCTAAATGGGGGGTGCAGGAAAGGGCAGGGGCACTTTAGGAACCCTTTGAGGCCTCTGCTGGCTCCAAACGCCCCAAAGTGCTCCTTTGGGGCTATTTTCATCACCCCCATGTGGGTCACCCACCACTACCACCCGCCCGACATCCCTTTTCGTGCAATGCACTAGCAAATTAGGTCCTTTTTCGGCAACATAGATCCAAGACGGTCCTACAGCCAAGAAGGACCTGACACGGTCCAAGAGCGCTACAACAAGGCCGCAGATGCCCTCGAGACGAGTAAACAAATCCCCCCAAGCCCAAAGAGAGCTCCAAGATCACCCCCACGAAAGGCCGCCATAATCTTTGAATTCCCCCTGGCTGTTGACGAATTTTCGCGTTCTGACTTTTTGGCTTCCGACAGCCCAAGATGTTTCCAAGAGGCCCCCCAGAGGAGCTCCAGAGGGGAACATTTGAGCCATCGCTCTAGCGATATCCTTCGATACCGCCAGCTGGACCTCCAAAGACCCCATGAACCCCCTCTGGGGCCCCCAAGACCCAATAGGCCCCAGAGACCTCAGACATACAACAAGCAGGCCTCCCAAGAGACACCCCCAACAAGCCTCTACGAGGCCGCGACCTTCCCGGGGCCTTCCTCAGCATCCCATTCAGGGTAGACAGAACTGGCCGTGCGGCACACGTCGGTCAGAAATAGGTCGAAACTGAAGTAGGAAGGCGGATCAAGTAGATTGGATCCAGGTGCTCCCAGAGAACAGCACAACACATCGAAGGCATGCCGATTCTTGAAGTAGGAAGGCGCTAGAAATAGATTTGGGATGAAAGGAATCCAGAAATACCTACTTTCAACGACCGCTGGGTAAATGTACTTTCAGCACGGGGCCCCGCGAAGGCCCCGGCCATTCAATGACGCCCCCGGCGACGACGGCGGCGCTCGGCGGCGAGCACTGCCAGAGCGGGCTCTGGGCGGCGGGCAGGACATCGTCGCGGCGTGCGCGCTACGCGGGTGGCACGCGAGCGACAACGCGTGGGGTCGGCTTCTCATCTCGAGCGGGGCCCCGGCGGGGGCCCACGGTGATCAGCAACAAGAAGTACCCCTGCTCCTCTGGGAGGGGATCTGAGTCAGAGGAGAGCCAAGCACATTGTATTGCAGACGTCAGACGAAGCCACCCACGCATGTCAGGGGTAAGCCTCTAAACACCGAGGACCTGAGTTGAGCCACATGTTCATTGTGTCATATGGGTTAGTGGTTGTACTATGCTTCATGACATGAGACCGTCAACACATCGGCGGTGGACACTGATGCTTGGGAGCCCCTGGTGGCCCAAATATATCCATATCCACCGCCCCCTCGTGTCCGGGAAAGTCGGTCCCCAGGTGGTGGATATGCTGGAAACCAAGATCCGGATCGGCTCCCCAAGTCCAGACGCGCGGAAAACACAAACTTCCCTTCACACGCGGGAAGAGACCTCCCTACGGCGAGGAGGAGCGAGGAGCAAGGGAAAGGCGAGGAGGAAAGGGGGGTCGCTGCTGCACCTAATCAGCCTGGCCGTGGAAGCACACACACACACACTCACACACACATTGTCCCTCCTCCAGCGAGGTAAGAGGCACCGTCGCGAATGCTGCGACAAGGCGCAAAGACACGGGCATCGAACACAGCACATACGCTTTTCGGAGTCGCGGCCAAGCGCGCAGCGACGCAGCGAAGTCAGTCTGCCGGCCGCAAAGGGCAGGGCGCGAGAGAGACCCAGCTCAAGAGGTAGCAGTGCGTGCCGGGTCCACCAAAAAAAAACACGCGGCACAACTCTCGGGGAGGCAGCCGCGAAGGGGGGGAAATAACAAAAAACGCATACCTACTTTTTTACGTTGCAGCGCGGCAGAGGCAGTCCGCACGCGCGCTCGGGCCGTGAGAAACACACATACTCTCTCTCTCACACACACACACAACACACATACGCACATACGCACACACACACACACACACTTCTTTTGAGTCCGAGCCCGCGTGGGCAGCACCGCGGGGGTCACAATCGTTGGCGTGAAAGCGGCATGGGCCGGGTCAGGCGGCAGGCGCAGGACAAGGACGGACCAGGAGAAGGGCGGCGAGAGCAGACCACGGACGCAGAGAGCGAGAGGAGGGAAGCCGGACAGGGGGTGGGCGCAGAGACGGGCGAGGAAGTGGGAATAGAGGCCTCCCAAATGGGTCCGAGTGGATGGGGTCGGAGGACTGCACCAGATCGCCGATGCATCACCGATGCGCTGGCGATGCATCGGCGATGCGTCGGCGACGTCGGCGATGCATCGGCAACGTCGGCGTGGCGAAATCAGGCTCCGCATCGAGCCGCATCGCCGATGCATAGTTAGACGATGCGGCGCGATCCTCCGGCCCCATCTGCTCGGACCCCAGCTGGGAGGCCTGGAGGGAAGCAAGGAGGGCAAGGGGAGATGTCGGGTCGGGAGCGGCAAAGAGGGGAACGTCGCAAATCATGGCTGGCGGCATGTGCCCGGCCCAGGGGCGGGGGTTGGGGACGTGTTGAAATGAGAAGAGGCGCTTCGAAATCTGAGGAAATATCATGGCCCACGCCATGATGTCCACCCCACCTATTTGTACACCCGGAATGGGTATGGCAAAAATGGGTACAATGCCCAACAACAAGTGTTGTCGAAAACCGACAGCGGGCGCTGTTGGGCAGGCCGCCCCCTGTCTTCAAAGAACAACGCCCGCGGCGGCGCGGACAGCGAGTCCTGTTCAGAATGCGCCAACAAAAAATGCTGCTGGGCATCGTACCCATTCCCTCCGTACCCGTTTCGATCGCCCCGACCCTCAAAGTCGTCGCCTCCCCCCTCCGAAGCCCCCCCGCCCGGGGACGGGGAGGTGGCAGACGAGGCGGGACGAGCACACCCCGCAAGCCGGCCGGCGGGCCTTCCGCCTGGCCAGGGGGGGCCATCGCCCGGGCGAACGCCTCGGCCGCCGCGGCGCGGTCGCCCGGGCGCATGCCTGGCGGCCCAGGCGGGCTGCTCGCGGGGAGGAGAGATTCGGGCACGCAGCACCACTTCCGGGGGCCCAGGGATACACAGATCAACGGACACGCATCCCGGGATTACCCACGTTTCCCCATCTCATTTTCGGGGTTGTCGTCTTCCCCTCCCCGTCCCCAGATTTTCCGGTAGATCTTTTCCCTGGGACTCGAAGAGGCATGGTGTCTGTGTTGTTGCTCCTTCCTGAGCCATGGGCTACGGATCCGTAGATCTGGCACAGAGATACCCCCAGAAAAACATGGCGCCGGTGCCCCCCCCACATGACGACGGGGCGCGTCGATCTGTGGCATCCGAGCGGGGCCCGCCGCTCATCCACGCGCCTGAATCCGTGCTTGTGATTAACGACAGATTGGTGACGAGACGTGCCTCGGAAGACCGGCAACGGACATGCCCCTGGGCGGATAGCTCCAAACATGTATATCGTAGCCGTTCGATACGCACCTTCCCCCTGGACGCCACCAAGCCCGACAGAACGCTCTGCCCCCGCGCGCGCGCGCCGACCCACCCCCCTGATGCGATCCCCAAATCCCCAACGCCCCGCGAAGGACAGCCCACTCCTACCGCCCACGCTGTTCACCCTTCCACGCTTGCTGAGCAAATCGCAGCATTAACCCTCTCCATGGGCACAACCTTCTCCATGACCAATCAACATCGGATCGGGAAATCGGATCAAATCGGAATGTGCGCCGGATCGGACCGCATCGGCACGGATCCGCAACCGAATCGGGTCGGCTACGCCAGGATGTGTAACAATGCCGTGCGGACATCTGGTCGCATCCGATCGTCGGAATGTCTGATTCGAATCGGATCGCACTGGCTGGGAAGCAACGTCGAATCGCATCGATACGATCGAGACAGAGCCCGACCTCTGGCCCTCCTCGCCCCCTCTGCAGACTTCGCACCCTCGCGACGTCAAGCCCCGGCCGCCGGGGCTCGGCGACCTTGGCCCCTGCTTCAAGGAAGAGTGCGGGGAGAGGCATTCGAGTACCGTGCGGGACCTGCCTCGAAACAGGAACATGCCGTAGAAGTATGTGCCCTTCCTCCAACCTTGCACTGCGCCGAACGCCACGGCCGCGTTGTCTATAGACGTGTGAACCCGGAATCTGTTTTTGTACGTGACGACACCCGATGTGTCTATAGACGCGCCCAGCGAGGGTGGTAAGACTCAGGGCGGGAGGTCTTGGGCGCGACCTAATGGGGGGCATTTAGTGGGGAGGAGAAAGGTGCCCTCTGCGGGCACGAAAGGCCTCTTTGGGGCACGGGGCCCTTCAGAGGCCCTAAAGGCAACTTTTCTGCAACCCTCGCTGTATCGCCCCCTCCTTTATGCGGCCTCCCAAGGACCGATCGGCCCAGGCGGCCGGGCACTTTTGGAAAGCGTGTCGCCTCGGCGGCCCCGCCGACACGCCAATGCCTTCCGAGTGGATCACATGTCGTTCCGCTCCGCGGGGCGGGAGCATCGGAGAAACTCGGGACGTCGACGCCCGGGGACCGGGAAGTGGATAGCGTGTCGCACCGAGGCGTGGTGCGCCAGAACCGGCGGAGCGACGCGCGGTCCAGAAGTTCCCGATCGTATACCCATCAGCGTCAGGCCTCTTGCTCTGTGCCCGGCGGGGAGGCAGAGGGAGCACGAGGGAGGGGGAGGAGCAGACGAGGAGGTCAGGGCGAGGAGGCGGGCTCTCGGCCCTGGCGCTCGGAGGGCGAAGACAGGAGAACGATGGGAGCCAGATCCAAGACCCACTGTCTCCGGTTTCTGCACTTCCACATTCCCCAGAGGGGCCAGCTGGGGGTGGGGTATACTCTGTGCCCCTTTTTTTACGAGACATCCTTCGGGAAACAAGAAACCATGGAAGCGCGCATTCTTTCCCCAGGAACAGGTTGCGACGACCGAACACGACCCTCACCAGCCCTCGCTCCGCCTGAATCGATGGGGCGCGGGGGTACGGTTCGGACGTCGCCACGTGTTCAAGGAATTCCCGCCGCCGTGAACCAAGTCAACAACGTGAACCGGGGGGGGGGGGGCCAGGTCAACGTAAACCGAGTCATCGACGAGCTGCAACGGCTCACGGCCGCGACCGAGCCCCCCCTCCTCCATCGCCTCGTCCGCTTCCCCCCTCCCCCCAAAGATCACGCCCTCCCCCCCTCCGCCATCGCCCCCCCTCCTCAGTCGCCCCCCCCCCCTTGGGCGCCCGAATTATCCGGGGTAACTCGGGTCCGGGGTAACTCGGGTTTGGATTCCCGAAAAACGAACCCGAGTTAGCCCTGACCCGAGTTACCCCTGATGATTTTGGGGCTCTGGACGCCCGAATTATCCGGGGTAACTCGGGTCCGGGATAACTCGGGTTCGGGCTCCCGAAAAACGAACCCGAGTTAGCCCTGACCCGAGTCACCCCTGATGATTCGGGGCTCTGACCCTCCGCCATCGCCCCCCCCCTCCTCCGTCGCCCCCCCCCCCCCGCCGCCCACCGACTTGCCCGACTCGTTGATCGGCGAGGGTCGGGGCTCGCATCTCGCCGCCGAGGGGGGAGGCCGGGCGGCCGCGCGCCCGAGAGGCGGGCCACCGCCGCGGCGGCCGCGCCGATGCCGCCGCGGCCGGCGGCGGCGAGGCGCCGCAGCGCCCCGTGGCGGCCGAGCCACGCCGCGAAGAGGCGCCTGGCGTGCTGCCGGCGCGCTCGGGGATCGAGGATCGAGGATCGAGGAGGAGGAGGAGGAGGAGGAGGAGGAGGAGGAGGAGGAGGAGGAGTACGTTTGGGGCGGGAGCTGTCCTTGCAAGGGAGATAGCGTCACCATAGGCAAGTCAGCGCACTTTGGCTACAAGGGCAGCCGCCCCAGAACTGCATCTGTTATATATTGCGCGCACCCGTGCGCATTGCCACCTTGCTATTCGCCTGTATCGTCACATGTGGACCGTTACGAAATCAACTGCATCCCTCTCGTCACTCTTTGCCTCACGTTCTTCTTTGGAGACCCCTGACTCACAGGGAGCGGCTTCGCATACCAGGCCAGACTACAGAACCAGCCTGAACAAGACCGCACCATATGCAGCGCATCATATGCCGATCTCAAGGGTAGCAGCCCCAGGATGACACTTATATACTTTTGCTGGCACCATACCAACCGAGGCGGCACCACCACTGAAACTTAAGGGGCTTGCTATTACTCATGGATGTGGGTGGGTGGGTGGGAAGGGAGCAGGCTTGTCATACTAAGCTTAGTGCCGACCTCTAGTACCTGGCGGGAACATGTTCCTTTAACTACTCTCGTCACAACCATACTTCCCAACACTTTCCGCGGCGCTCGCCTAGTACATTGTGGGCCGAGTCGTGTGCCTTTCTTTTCATCATCAAGAACGCCATATGCCTTCATATCATCACTGTAGGTTTGCATAACGCAAGGAGGAGGAATAATAATGATAAGAGGAGGAGGAGGAGGAAGAGGAGGGGGAGGAGGAAGAAGAGGAGGAGGATTATGCTGGATTCTGCTGCCTTGCCGCGCACGTGGCCGAACTACCTTCAGTCACTATCCCCGCTGCTGGCAGCACGCGTGCACGCCACCTGCTGCTGCTGCTGCTGCTGCTGCCCTTCACCGCTGCACTCATTGGCGGCGGCAGCGGCGGCAACGATACGGGGCGGCGGTGGGTCCTCGCCGCCGACCGTCATGCGGCCAAGCGGGGTGGCGGTCGGCCGAGCAGCGCAGGTATTCACACACAGAGACAGGCGCGGCCTGGGACGTCCTGGAAGGCGAAGACTCAGCCTCAGGGGCTTCATCGGCCGTAGCACGATTGACAGCATCACTCGCCAGGGCGGCCAAAATGGCCTTCGGCGGTCCGCAAAAGGACGGGAACAGGCCTCGCTTAATTCTACTCAAGTTTTCCCCCCCTTTCCTGGTCAGGGGGGGGGGCAGTCGCTGGTGAGTCTCCTGCCGTCAGACGGAGCAGTGAAGTCACCCTTCATACAAAAAACCTAGCCAAACGAACTAAATCTGGCGAGGGCGTGAGATGGGTGGAGCAACAACCCTCCGACCGGCACACCGCCCCCGACCGCCTCGAAACCCTCGCCATACTCGGGAGGCAGGGACCGACCTTCAGGCAAATCCAGCACACGCGCGGCCGGGCGAGGAACGACGCAATGGGTCGAGGCGGCCTTCAAAACCTTGCATCTTGGTAGAATGATCCTGCAGCTCCCGCACCTCCAACGTCCAGCAAAAGGGAGGAAACGATGCTGGCTGGACTGGAGGGCGGAACTGAGCTTATTGGGTCGAGGCTAATTGACCGAAGGGGCTCGCAGTCCGACCCACGGTCCAACCTCGAACGCAAGCAGCAATGTTCGCTTGGCTTTATGACGCACCAGCGCCGCCGTCGTGCCTAACTAAACTTCTGCAGTCCGGTAACAAATCGGCCCAATCGGATTCTCCAGGGCAAAGCAGAAAGCCTGAATTTCAGCGAGGGGAACCGTCTGCCTACGCCCAGAGAGGATCTGCGCAACTCCACATTGAGGGGCCCAGGCACCAAGCGACGAGGGCTCTTGACACAGAACCGCGATCGCCGAGCCGCATCTCCTTCCCCTTGGGCCCGCAGAGAACTCACCCCCAGAGCCGTCTCCAAATGTGAAACGCGGGCAGCCTCCAGGAGCAGAACAGCAATCACACACCCTACCTGCCCCTATAGGAACCTGCCTGCAAACCATCTCCTTCTCACTTCACCCCCTCGCTCGCCGCCGATCTTCGCTCCTGGTCCGTCGCCCTCATACCATTGTCGTCGTCGACCCTCGTCGTCCCGCGTCCTCGTCGTCGCCCCTGGCCCTGGCAACCCAGACAAGATGTCAAGATCTCTGCTCCCCAGACCTCTGCCGAAACGTACTCTGCCCAAAACCTCGGGCGAAAAACCCAACCGTGTCGACAACGGACGGGCGGCGGCAGCGGTATTTTTTCCTCTGTCGCCCCTAGAAGAAAAACAACAGCCTAAGCAAATGCACCCGTGAAGAGACAACAACAGTCCAAATCAATACAAGCGTGCGACAGATCGCGCGGGTTTCTTGGAGCGCCGCTGGACGGCAGCGCGCGGATCGCGCCAGGGAAGGCGCCGGAGGCGCCACCAGTGGAGCCCAGCTTAGATCCAAAAAACTCGCGCGGAGCGCCGAAAAGTTCTGCTCGTGCCGTTTGCATAGAGGACGGCGGACAAGTCGTGCCCCCCCTCCCGGAACCGGAAGACAGAAACAACCGAAGACAGAAAAAAGCATAACAAAGCAGAAGACAGAACAAACCCAGAACAAAAAGCAGGTCTCTTCGGACTGTTCAGTATCCTGCTGTTGTTTCTGTCTTCGCTTGCTTCTGGTGCTTTCTCTCTCCTTCGAGCCCTGGCCCTGGCACTCCCCGTCGGCCTCCGGACCTCCCGTCGACTTCCCCGGGGCCCGCTTCGCCTCCCGAGGGCCCCTCCTCGACGGCCTCGGGGCCCAGAGAGCCGGCCTCTCCACGGGCTCGTCGTCGTCCTCGTCCTCGCCGCCGCCGCCGCCGTCGCCAAGGCCGTCGCGGGAAGAACAGTGCGGCACACGCCGTCGAAAAGTCACGGCGGGGGCCCTATAGACCCTGCCTCCCTGTGGAAGCCCCTCGAAGCTGGATCGATCGATCTGCGAAGGCCCAATAAGTGCCCGAGACCAGGCGGGAACACCCACTGCAAGCATGATGACGCCCAGATCTCAGGGTCGCCGTCGTCCCGACCCTTCCCCCAGGGAAGCCCCGACCTCTCATCCTGAGCCGTTCTCTGATGGTCCCGAGGACCGGCGAGGGCCTCCAGAGGCCGAAAGCGGCGAAAAGCATCCGTCTTGATCCTTTCAACGTGTTGGAAGCTTGGGTCTCGGGATCGTCGTCCTCCTCGTCCTCGTCGCCGCCGCCGTCGCCGCTGTTGAGGGGCAACGGTAAAAGGGGTGTCCACCCCTCACGTTGCCCCTTCGGCGGATCAACACTGGGGCCCTGAGAGACGATGGCCTGAGGATAGCGCGTGGACATCATGGTGAACTCCCATTGCTTGAGGCTCTGGCCCCCTGGGGCCCCGCCCCTCGGTGCCCCACCTTGGAACCGCCGACCCCTGGGCCGTGGCCGCCGACCGCGCCGACGCCGTCGCCGGCGGCGGGAGGCGGCTCGCGCCGCAGGCTCGCGCGGAACTCGGGGCCGCCGCTGGCGCGGACCAGGCCCGCGGCGGCGGCGATGTGGTCGGGGCCGCAGGGCTCGGCCTGCTCGAGGATGGCGCACACCTGCGCAGCTGGGGGGGGGGGCCGCGCGCCTCCCGGCGCCGTGGAGCCAAGAAATGCTCGGCGCGGAGAGCCCCAGATGTGCATCTCGTTCCCTGGCACCGTCCGCCGTGAGCGTCCGGCTGTGAGTCTGGGTGTGCGTTCCAGTACGAGTGAACGACGGGTGCGACGACGACGACGACGACGACGACGACGGCAGCGGCTACGATGAGGGACGACGGTGGCAGGCGCTGAGCTGGCACCCCTCCCCTCTCCTCTCCTTCCGCGTCCTCCCCGTCGTAATGCCTCGCTTGGCTTCCTCTCTCATCCCTTCTCCCTCCTCTTCTCTCCTCCGTCCTCGCTCCTCCTCCCTGGCGGCCGCTATTCTCCCTCCTACTGCGTCCCCCCCTCCTCCTCCTCCTCCTCGTCCGCTCTCCTCCTCCATCCTCCTCCCAACGCCTCCATGGCCAGTGTCCCCCTCCTTGGCGTCATCTTGCCCTCCCCTTCCTCGATCTCCTGGTCCGTGGACCTCCCCCTCTCGGCCGCCCTCCTCCCTGCTCCTTCTCGCTGCGCCCTCCGTCCTCGCCCCTGGCAGCCGCCATTCTCTCTACGTCGAGGCGATCCCGTGGCTCCGGGTGGGCAGGAGTCGGAATTGCAGACCGGGCGCCTCGCTCGAGGCATCCCCACACTCTGGCCGCGGAAGGGCGAGCGCCACACCATGGCGGCTCCCCCCCTCGGGGTGCTGCAGGCAGCGCTCTGCCCGAGACATCCTCACAATCTGCCCTAAACGCACCTGGGTCTGAGCCAACTGACCAGCGAACCGCTCAAGACATCCCCACAACAGGCGAGGGCCCCCTTCCCTAGCGACCCCCTCTTGAGGTGCTGAGGCCAGCGCCTCGTTCGAGATATCTTTTCCAGCTGCCATGAAGGCAAGGGAGTCCGAGCCACCCAGCGAACGAACCGCCAAAGACATCTCCTCAATCTGGCTGCGAATTGGTGAATATCTCCACTCATGGCGGCTGCCCCTCCCTTGGGGTGCTGTTACCAGCGCCTCGCTCGAGACACTCTCACAATCAGTTTTGAAAACATTCGAATCTGAGTCGCCAAGCAAGCGAAGCACTCGAGACAGGTACACCATTTGAACGCGAACGAGCGAGTGTCCCCACCCCTGGCGGCTCTCCCTGGGGTACTGGGGTGCTGAAACCAGCGCCTGGCTCGAGGCGTCACCGCGACCTGCTTTGAAACCGCAAAGTCCAAGCCACCAGACAAGCAAACCGCCTCAGACATCCCAACAATCGGCCCGCACGGGGGAGTGCCCCCCCACCCCTGGCGGCTCCCCTCGGGGGTGCTGAAGCCAGCGCTTCTTTCGAGTCATCCCCACGACTTGCTCTGGCAGCAAAGAAATCCAAACCACCGAAAACGCAAACCGCCTGAGACGTCCCGACACTCTGGCCGCGAACGGGGGAGTGTCCCCACCCCTGGCTGCTCCCCCTAGGGGTGCTGAAGCCAGCGCCTCGCTGGAGACATCCTCTCGATCTGCTCCGAAAGAATGGATATCCAAACCACAAAAAAAAACCTCTCGTTCGGGGCATCCCCACAATCTGGACGCGAACAGGGGAGTGCCCCCCCCCTTGGCGCCCCTCCCCCCCCTGAGTGCTGAAAACAGCGTCTCTCCTGAGACACCCTCCTGGTCTGCTCTGCAGGCAACGAAATCCAAGCCACCAGACAAGCGAACCACCTGAGAGATTCCCGCAACCTTGGCGCAACGAGTGGATGCACCACCCCTGGCGGCTCCCCCATTGGGGTCCTGAAGCTTGCGCCTCGCTCGAGACACTCTCGCATGTCGAGTGCGAGGTGAGCCTGCGTGTGAGTGATCTGCGTCAGTGAGGCGGAGCGCGGGTGACTCTGAGTGGGAGTGGCTCTGAGTGCGTGTGGGGCCTGTCACCAGGGAAAAGGGGCGGGAGCGGGGCGCGCGCCCCCTGCAGCGCAGGCCCATCCCTGCCAGGGCGACGCAGCCAGATGCCTGCTCGGGGGCGGCGAGGCCAGGGGGGAACGGGGGAGCGCGGCGCGCCCCGCCCTGCAGCGCTAGCAAATTCCTGCTGGGGCGCGACGAAGCAGGCGGGGCGGGGGCGCGTCCCCCCCCCCCCCTACCCACCCCCCCTTGCAATGCTGCCCTGCTCATGCCAGGGGGCAACGGGGCAATGGGGGGGGAGGGGTGGGCGGCGCGATCCCTGGCAATGCGAGCCCATCCCCCCTGGGACACGTCGAAGCAGGCGGGGGGGGGGAGCCCGGCGCGACCCCCCACCACCCCCGCCGCCCCCCCTGCAGTGCGGCCCCGATGATGCTGCTCGGAAGCGGCGAGGCAAAGCGCGGGGACGGATCGCGCGCACCCCTACAGTTCTGTCCCACTGGTGCTGGGGCGCGACGAAGCAGTCGGGGAGGGGGGGAGCGCGGCGCACCCCCCCCTTCCTCCCTTGCAGTGTGGCCCTGCTCCTCTTAGGATGCTGCGAGGCAAGGGGGGGGGGGGGGGGGGGGGCGCGGCGCGCGCCCCTGCAATGCGAGCCCATTCCTGCTGGAGCGCGGGCCAGCGCAGAAGGCGGGGTGGTGGCGCAACGCGCCCCCCCGCCCCCCCCCGGCAATGGTGTCCGACTCCTGCTGGGAAGCGGCGAGGCAAAGGGAGGGTGGCGCGTCGCGTCCCCCTGCAGCGCGAGCATTGCAAAAGGCGGGCCCCCCATGTGCAATGCGAGTGCATTCCTTCTGGGGCGCCAAGTAGCAGTGCAATGCTGCGTTACCCCTGCGAGGACGCGGCGAGGCAAAGGGGGGATGCGCGGCGCGCTGCTGTGCAATGGTGGCCGGCACCTGCTACAAAGCGGCGATGAGAGCAGGAGGGCGCGGCGGGCGCGGTCCCCGCAAAGGTCCCCTATTCGTGCTAGGGCGCGGCTGATGTGAACGCAGTGCCACAAGACACGCATGATCGATCTCACTGAAGGTGTAACGGCCTGGACACCAGCACCTGTAGGCAATGCGTACCACTTAGACTCTGACCCGTACCAACAGTGAGAAAGCACCAGTAACACCGAAACTGCACACAACAACAAATTACTATGTGCTTTTCGCTATATTCTCGCGCTCCTCCTCCTCCTCCTCCTCCTCCTCCTCCTCCTCCTCCTCCTCCTCCTCCTCCTCCTCGTCCTTCTCCTCCTCCTCCTCCTCCTCCTCCTCCTCCTCCTCCTCCTCCTCCTCCTCCTCCTCCTCCTCCTCTTCGTCCTCCTACAAAGGAACCCACAGGTATCCGATGGATCTCTTGCAACTGCTACGCTGCGGGGAGGGGGAGCAGCAGGAGGTGGACGATTGCAAAATCGCTTGCTGCGCGGCGCCCAAACAAATCTGCGCGGGGGGGAGATTTCAAAACAGTTTCGGCCCCCCAGGCTTTACTTATTATTCGTTTCGTTACATACAAAGGCGGCTCCCTGGGGGGATAACTTTTCCACCGCTTACCTCCACCACATACAGGAGTGACCCTCGGCCCTGGGCAACACTTGATATCTGGTGTGCGGCTCTGGAGGGCGCGCGGGGCCGAACCCAAGAGCGCAAGTCGCTGCTAGCGTATCGCAAGTTGCGATCGGGGAAACCCACTGGGCCCGCGAAAGGCCAATGCGGGGAGGTTGCTCTTAACGTTAGGTCGGGCGTGTCCCCCTACAGGCGGATCTTGAACGAAAGATGAACCATAGTGTTTAAATACATATTCAAACATGCACCAACCTAGTCAAACAATCGTCCCGGAATAAAATTGGACAATGTTTGAATACTCCTCCTGTAGAGGGACAGGCCCGACCTAATCTTGATACAGGATGTCTTTCAAGAATCCCTTCTCGCATGTGTGCCTCTAGCAATCTCAATGTGACGACTGCGACGCCCGCGAGCGGGGCCTGGAACCCAACTCGTAAACATGATCTCCCAGGGTGCTGGCGCGTGACGACCCCCTGAGCATTTCTTGATCGTCGCACGACAATGCTTGTGTTAGGTCGGGCATGTCCTCCTACAGGCAGGTTTTCGACGATTGAAAAATAGTCCAACAATACTTAAATATATTCACTATGTCCCAGACCTATTCAAAACAAAAACTATGTTTGAATATTTTGCCTTTAGAGGGACGGGCCCGACTTAATGCTTGTAGCCGATGGACCTCACTTCTAGGGAACCCACGAACTCGGCACGCGCCCAACCTCGTACCTGAAGACGACCCGAGTCCGCGGGCCAGCCTCGCGCTACGAGGCTGCGAACGCTCGCGCATTGCAAGATCCCGAAGCCAACGAACAGGAATGTGCATGCCGACGTCTGCCCTCTTTTCGCTCCTGGCTGCTCCAACGAAGCCCTCCGAGGAGGACCCCCCCCCCTGGATGGGAGGGCGCGGGCGTCCATCGCCCACCGCCCTCGCCGCTCCTGTCGCCATCCAGCGGCCGCCCCAAAGGCCTCCTGGGCCGCTCTCCTTTGGTTCCGGGCAAAGGGAGTCGTTCCGTAATGGGGTCGCAACAACAAGCTCAACAGACCATGCTGTGGCGCAGCGCGCGTGGCAGCCACCTGGTGATATCATATACTCTACGATGTGCACATCCCGCACGGACGACTGCACGAACTGCGGCGCACATCTTCGAGAGCCCTTTGCAGAGGACCGCGGAGCCCGAATCCGATCCCTCCTCCGTCGCCGTGGCGACGGGACCCCCCCCTTCGCGAAGCTGCCCGAGGAGGGCCTTCCCCCCCCCCCCCGAGGGGAGGGGCGCGGAAGCGCCGATCGCCGACCGCACCCCCCCCGCGTCGCCGCCCCCTCGCCGCCGCCGCAGGGGCCCGTGGGATCCGCGGGTCGCCGTCGCCGTCCGTCGCTGGTCGCCGGTCGCCCGTCGCCGGTCGCTGGTCGCCGTCGCCGTCGCCCGTCGCCGGTCGCTGGTCGTCCGTCGCCGGTCTCCGTCGCCGGTCTCCGTCGCCGTTCGCCGCCGCTGCCGCCGTCGCCACCGCCGCCGCCGCCGCCGTCGTCGTCGCCGTCGTCGTCGCCGTCGCCGTCGTGGTCGTGGTCGTGGTCGTCGTCGTCGTCGTCGTCGTCGTCGTCGGCGTCGTCGTCGTCGTCGTCGTCGTCGTTCCTCGGTCGTCCTTCAACGAACATGTACCAATACCGCTACTCCCCTGACCTCTTCTGGGCGCGTCGCATTTTGAGGATAATCCAGCCGAGGTGGCGAGAACGCTCCAGGACAAGCAGCGCTATCGGTCGGTATCTTTCGCTCCTCTGATAGAGGTCTTTCGACTTGGGTCCGAATACGTGGGGTCGGCGGATCGCGCCGCATTGCCGATGCATTGGCGACGCCGGCATGGAGAAACTCGGGTTTCACATCGAACCGTCCCATGCGGCCTACGCGGAAGGCCTAGATCCTCCGACTCCATGCGGAAGGCCTAGGTCTGCTCCTCCCACGTCCTCGTCGTCCCTGGTCCCTCATCCTTCGCTCGCTGGTTGTCCTCCTGGCGGACCGCCGCGCGCGGGCCTCCCGCCAGGCCTCCGCGCAGCCGCCGCCCGGAGCCCCGCCGACGGGGCCGGGCCGCTGCTCCATGGCCATGGCCTCGGCGCAGCGCTCGGCGGCAACGATAACGACGTCGACGACGACGACGTCGACGACGTCGACGACGACGACGTCGACGGCGACGACGACGACGACGACGACGACGACGACGACGACGACGACGACGACGACGACGACGACGACGACGACGAGCGGCGCGCGCGGGCGGGCGCGGCGCGCGCGGAGCGCCCGCGGGGCTCCTCTCTGGGCGCGGGCCGGCGTGGGGCCCTGGGCCCCTGAAGCGTAGGGTGTTGCCTCCAAGATGCCTCCGAGACGGGCAAGAGGACGCAGGAGACCCCAGCATGGCCTCAAGATGCACCCAAGATGGCCTCAAGATGGCCTACTACAGCCCAAGAGGTCCGCAAGCGGCCCCCGAGGAGCCTCCAAGACGGCCCAAGAGGCACCCAAGAGGGCCTTCAGAAGCGCCCCTGGCACAAATTGCCAATTGCCACCACGATTTCCAAGGAGACCCCCACGACCTCCAGAGCAGCCCCCCACGAGGCCCAGAGTGCCCCATGGGGCTCCGAAACTGAGCGAAAAATTGGACTTACCTTGGGCCGTTTGACTGTTTTCTTTCTTTCGGCGATGCGCCAAGCGTCAGATAACCTACCCTTTTTGCTTTGGGTAGCCCCGCGTATGCCCGCGCGCACCGGTGCTGCAGACCCCTTTGGATCTGCGCAATCGACAAGAGCAGGTTATCTGGGGGGAGGGGAGGGGCGGGCGAGTCCGATAACCCGGGGTGTCGCTGGACCCTAAAAAAACAATCCCCTGGGGCACCTTTAGCGAGCCCCGAATTCATGAAACAAAAAAAAGGGCGGGCCGCCGGCGCGGCGATCGGGGGGACCGGGCGAAAGCTCGCGGGAGGCGAGCTGGGCCACGGGGGGGGGGAGAGGGTGGAGGGCGCCGACCGACGAGACGGGGGGGGGGGACGTTTTATCTCGTCTGGCCACGATGGGAACCATCGCCTCCGCAAGCTCACAAAAAAAAATCCAGGACGGGCGACATGCCATTTTCACGGGGTGGCGCTACTAGTGCCCACTTGCGCCCATGGCCCATTCTGCACCGCGCGCAACTCAAGCAACTACACGCGCCCAGCACTTCCAAACTTACCCAAGCAAGGCGCCCTGATAGCAGAAAGGTGTCACGAAGGACTTGTGCGACCATCGAGACCTGTTGGAGCTGGTAGACCTTTGGGACCCGTGGGGCATGCGGGAGCTGGGGGACCTGAGGAAGCTGTGGAGCTGCGGGACCATCAGGAACTGCCAGATTTGCGAGAGCTCCAGGGCCTGTGGGACCTGTGGAGCTTGTGGGACCTGCAAGACCAGCGAGACTCGTTGAAGCTGTGGGACCTGTGGGACCTCGACCTGTGGGACCTGCGAGACCTGCGAGACCCGTGGGAATGGTGGGATCTGTGGGACCTGAGAAACGTATGAGACCCGTGAGGCCCGTGGGATCTGTTGGACTTGTGGGAGCCTGCGGACCTGCGAGACCTGCTGGACCTGTGGTACTGGTCGGACTGTGGGATCTGTAGGACCCGTGTGGCCCGTGAGACCTGTGGGACCGGTGGGAGCTGTGGTACCTGTGGGACCTGTGGGAACTGTTGGTGGACCCGAGGGACCCGGGGGACCTGGGGGACATGTAAGACCTGTGGAGCCAGTGGGGCATGTGTGAAAAGTGGGGCGTGCGAGACCTCTTGAAACTGTGGGTCCTGTGGGAACTGTGGGTCCCGTGGCACCTGTGGAACCAAGGAGACTCGTGGGTCCTGTGAGAGCTGTGGGCTTTGTGGGAGCTGTGGGACACGTGGGACATGTACAACTCATGGGATCTGCGAGAGCTGTGGGATTCGTGGGACCTGTGGGACGTTCGGGGCCTGCGAGACCCGCGAGACCTGCGAGGCCTGCGGCGCCGACGAAACATGTCGGACCCGTTGGAGCTGTGACACATAAGGAACCTGTGGTACACGCGGGAGCCGTGGGACCTGTGGAACCTGCGAGGGCTGTGGGGCTTGGGTGACTTGTGCGACCCGTGGGACCTCAGGGACACTCAGAACTCGTACGACCTGCGAAACATGCGAGACATAAGGGACCTGTGGGATCAGCGGGGCCTGTTTGATTTGTTGGACCTGTGAAACCGGCGAGACCAACGGGACTTCTGGGACCTGCGGGCTCTGTGGGGCCTGTGAAACCTGTGAGACATGTGACGCCGGGAACCCCCTTAATTGTGGGACCGCGGGGCACACCGATAAGGACCATACATAGTTTTACCCCGGGAGTTCTTTATAAATTTGGTGGGCCGGCCGATGTTTCGTGCTTTGGGACCATCGACACCCCCCAGAGAGCTCGTGACGGCCCACGATGGCCCCGAACTGTCCGAGAGCTCAAAGAGGCCCCGAGAGTCGATGTTTGCCGCTCCCGGGGCCTGGCGAGGGCCCTCGGAAGCCGAAGACGTTCAAAAATCTCCATCTGGATGTTTGTCAAACATTGGAGGTCTGAGTTCCTGTGTTCACGAGCCCTACGAGACTCGTCAACCGTACATTGAGTTCTTGTTTTTCGCGTTTGCGCAGTCGGCGTTACCTCGATGCTGGCATGAGGCGTTTGGCCAACACGCAGGGGCGTCCGAAATTCGGCAGCGCCCTTCGCGGCATTGAGGAACGCATTTTCTGACGAGTGCCCGAACTACAGTCGGACCGAAGCCAGAAGAACACCTTGCAAGAACATGCGACACTCCGTCGGCCAAAGCACACAGAACACCCAAGGGGACCCTCCCCAGGATGCACAAGACTCAAGACCATCCGACAAACACGGAGAACATTAGGACACCCTTCCCGCACCGACCTCGATCGTATACCTCGGTCCGACTGTATCGGGTTCTTATTTTCTCGAAGTGACGCGCTCGGAAACGCACGTCGAAGTACTAGACGCTGCGCTCTAGAAGAGACGAATACAACGCCGCGGAGGGCTCCGCTCGCGGCGGGAGAGCCCGGTGATCTTTCCTGATGTACGCGCCAGCCTCGAAGGAGGAGGGACGGAGGTGCTGTCCTTGCCTTGGTGGATTGTGTAGTGAGTGGGTGCACAGAAGTCAGAGGCTGAGCAAATGCCCGGAGATCTCTAGAAACTACGCATGCTCTGTATCCGCCCTATGGCAGGGCGCGGTGCGCGCGGCGGAACCTCACCTCTTGGACTGCGAAACGTGCTCGGCAGGATGAGTGCCACCGCCAGCTGACGTCGGCCGCATGGCCTCGCAACGCCTCCCCATCATTTGCGGCGGTGCTTCACGACCCTCTTCACCTTGCGGCTGCCAACGGTCTTGTCGCTGTCGTCGTGATATGCCGCGCCCGCGCTGCCGCCCTCGCGAACGTCGGCGCGCGGAGCCAACGTAACGCGGCGGCGCCGGACGCTTGAGCCGTCTGGGGCCGAGGCACTGCCGGCCGCCGCTGATTGGGAGGCCGAGCTGGAGACCCCGATCGCAATGGCGTCGCCACTCCTGTAGCCGAAGATGTCGTGCTGCTGTGCTGCTGGATGTCGAGCTCCTTCTGCAGGCGCTCGGGCGGCGTGAGCGGCGCGGGCGCGCCCTCGGCCCGCGCCCGCTTCGGCGGCTTGGGCGGCGGCGGCATCGAAGTGAGCTCCGCAGCGCGCTCGGGGGCCGCGCGGCCGGCACCGCTGGCGGGCGGCGGCGGTGCCGGGGGAGCGCAATGGCGGATGGGCGGTCTGCCGCGGGCGACGGCGCGGGGGCGTCGCTCGCGACCTCGGTGGCACTCTCGGGGGCACGATCCGTTTCCTGAGTGGGCTTGTCTTTCTCGTCCTCACACGAGTCCTCTCCCTCGAGCGACACGGCGGCGCCGGCCCTGCCCGCGATGGCGGTGGCGCCTTCGGCCGCTGCGCCGGTCGCCTCATCAGAGGGCTTGCTTTCCACTTCCAACTGACGGGTCTCTGTCTGCGCGCCTTCCTCCGCGGCATCGTCGGTGGGGCCTCCAGAATCGGCCGTCTCCTCCTCTGCCGCCCCCGCGCCCGGAGAGGCCGGCGCGGTCACGGCCAGCTTCGCGGAGTGGGCCTTCACTGGGCTCGCGTCCTCGGTAAGGCTACCGACCGAATGCGGGGGCGGGGACCGTGCCTACGTGCGCTGCCTGCGTCGCGGAGCTCGCGGGCGCGCCGGCGTCGTTCTCGGTGGCCACGGGCGCAGACGCTCCCTCGGCCGCGTCGGCGGCGTCACTCCCATTTCCACTCGCGATGAAGGCGGCCATGTCCTGCACGAGGGTCGACTTGGTGGCGGGGTCGGCCGGCTCCAGGGCGTCGGGATCCTTTGCCACATCGGCTGGAGGCATCTCGTCTGTTTCGACGAGGTCGGCGAGGCACCCCACGTCGTTCTGATCCTTGCCCCCGTCTCCGACGACGGACGTCGGAACCGCACTCGCCGCCGGCACGCCCGGGGCGGCAGACCCTGTAGCCGCGGCGGCCTCAGCGCGGGCGGGGCGGTCGTCAGAAGATGATGGCGCGCCTGCCGAGGAGGCCGCCTGGGAGCCTACGCCGGCTTGCTTGAACCGCTCCATCCTCTCCGCGTGGGTCTCCACCGGCGCCAGCGTCATCAGCGCGTCAGCGCCACAGAGTGAAGCTGCGCTGCGACGGCCCCGAGGCCCGGCCGCTGAAAGAATGCGTCAAAGTTGATGGCCTGCGGCGGGGTGACGTTCGCTGGCATCGTGGCACCGTGTTGCTTGGCGTCCTTTATCGCCCCCTCCGCCTTCGCGGCTGCGATGCGGGCCTGGTGGGCCTCCTGCATGACCGCCGACTTGACCTGCCTGGCTGCGTTCGCCTCCTCTTGTTTCGCCCTGTTGTGCTCAGCAGCCTTCGTTTCGTTCTCTGCCTTCCTCGCGGCTTTCGCCTCCCTGTCCTTCGCCGCCTCCGCCCTGCACCCGAGGGCGTTGACGTGCGTCCTGAGGAACGACGTGAACTGCGGGGACTTTGCCCCGCAGGGCGTCCCCGCGGCCACGCACGCCGGGTTGAGCCTGACCCCGTCGCCCTCCATGACAATCGCGTTGTCGACAAGCTCCTGGCGCTCGCGGATCCTGATCTTCTTCTCGGGGTCGTCCCTGGGGAACTTCTGTGCCTTCTGCCCCGCCCTGTACAGCCTAGCCGCTGCGAAGGTCACAATATAATTTTTCAGGACGGAGCGGCGGAAGAACCTCTCAACGTGGATGATCATATCGCGATCGTTCTCCCCCTCCAAGATGCCGAGGTCCCATGCGAGGACCTGCGTCGCATTCAGCGCCAGATCGCAGATGCGGCTGGGGTCGGCCGGGTCGGGCGCCTCGGCGGCGTCCAGGTCTAGCTTGGCCATGGCGACCTGGCTCCAATAGTACGTGAGGCGCGTCGCTGGTGAGGGGGCAAGGTCATGCAAGTAGCCTCCATTTGATAGGAAAGACACCAGCCGCCCAGCCTCATCGGACGGCGACGACACCTGCACTGCCGGGTAGAAGAGATGCGACGCGAATCGTTCCGCGTCGAGAACGCAGAACCGAGAGCTCTTGATCAACTCGGCCTCCTCCACGCCGATCTCCTCCGGCTTGGCGTCGAAATGCGCGCAGGTCTTGAATATATAGGAGATCCGACTGTACCGGGCTCTTCGATTAAAACCGTCCTACTGGGCGTTCCGACATTGGGCGGAAGGAGGGGGGAGGGTCTCGCTCTGGATGTCTGCTTAGTGCGACTGCTTGCAGCAGTGCGTCCTGTGGGGGAGGCTCCACCTGCTTGCAACAGGCGCCAAAAACGGCCAAGATCTACTCCATGGAGGGGGGGGGGAGGGGGGGGTGCGAGGACTCGCGTCGATCGGCAAACCAACGAATAAGAAGACGATCAGCTTGCAACTGGCCTTTTGGTCCTGGTAATGATCGCTCGGGCGTGTGCGTTCTGTTGTGTTTTTTTTGCGGCGAGGCCAGCGCCAGAGAAACCTAGAGGAGCAGGAGGAGGAGGGAGGAGCAGGAGGAGGAGGGAGGAGGAGGGAGGAGGAGACGGGAAGAGGAGGGAGGGGAGGAGGGGGAGGAGGAGGAGGAGGAGGAGGAGGAGGAGGAGGAGGAGGAGGAGGGAGGAGGAGGGAGGAGGAGGAGGAGGAGGGAGGAAGCAGGAGGCGGCGGAGGAGGAGGAGGAGGAGGAGGCGTTTGACGAGGCGCGCCTGCCGGCACAGACGGCGGGGCGGCCGAGCGTGGCCCAACGGCGGGCGGCGCGCGATCGGTGAGCAGCCGCCGAGAAAGTCGTGGCGGCGAGGCCGCCGCCCCCGCCCCGCAAGGCCAGCTGGGGGGGGCAGGGTCGAGGAAGGTCAACCCCGTGACGCCCTCCCTCGTCCTCCCCTCGTCCTCCTCTCCTCTCCTCCTCTCTCCTCCTCCTCCTCCTCCTCCTCCTCCTCCTCCTCCTCCTCTCCCTCCTCTCCCTCCCCTCCTCCTCCCCTTCCTCACCCTTCTCCTCCTCTTCTTCACCCTCCTCCTAACCTCCTCCTTAACCTCCTCCTGCTCCTCCTCTCCTCCTCCTCCTCCTCCTCCTCCTCCTTCCTCCTCCTCCCTCCTCTCCTCTCCTCCTCCTCCTCCTCCTCATCATCATCATCATCATCATCATCATTCATATCATCATCATCATCAGCATCATCAGCATCAGCATCCAGCATCAGCATCAGCAGCAGCATCAGCATCAGCATCATCATCATCATCATCATCATCATCTCATCATCATCATATCATCATCATCATCATCATCATCATCATCGTCATCATCATCATCATCTTCATCATCAGCATCATCATCATCATCGTCATCATCATCATCATCATTATCATCATCATCATTATTATCATCATCATCATCACCATCATCACCATCATCATCATCACCACCACCATCATAATCATCAGCAGCAGCAGCATCAGCATCAGCATCATAATCATCATCATCATGATCATCAGCATGGACATCATCATCATCATCATCATCATCATCATCATCATCCTCATCATCATCCTCAGCATCATCATCATCATCATCATCATCATCAGCATCATCATCATCATCATCATCCTCATGGACATCATCATGTTCCTTCCCCTCCCCCCTTACCCTCCTCCTCCTGCTGCTCCTCCTCCTCCTCCTCTTCCTCCTCCTCCTCCTCCTCCTGCTCCTCCTCCTCCCCTCCTCCTCCTGCCCCTCCTTCTCCCGACTCCTCCCCCTTCTCCTCCCTCACCCCAGATCCCCCCTCTTTCCCCTGCTACCCCCTCAATTCGCCTCCGCCTGGGCGCGCCAGTGATGGGAGCCGAATTGAGGGTCTCACCCTCCCCGTCTCCCTTCCTCATCTTCCCTTTTCCTCTTCCCTCGTCCTCCTCGCACACATACAGCCCTGAAGACATCTGGGTTCAATGAACGCTGCCAACCAAAAGCACTGGATAGACAAGGCAAGACGGAGCAAGAGACGGAGGGCAGTGACAGCGACGATGGCGCGAACGAAACGAGTGGTCCTTGTAGTCCCCTCGCCCCAAACTTCATGAAACTGGGCCCCGATCTCGCAAGCAAGCGAGGGCGCAAGCATGCGACACAGCTCAGGAGGGTACGCTTTAGCATGTGCAGTGGCCCATTCGCCGCTGTCCTGTGCCCCCTGAAGCGTAAGTTGCTGATGAGCCCTGGCGCACTCACCTCCTCCATACTGTGAATGAGTGACAACCTGCACGGCTCGGGCATGCACGCACCATGACGATGTGGGCTTTAGTGCCTGAGACCCGAAACGGCACTGGTGCACGTCCACCTTCTTAATGCACGCGTGCGAGAGCAGTCCAGTGATGCCAGGAATGAGACAAATAGACGGGGCTGTAGATCTTTGGCTCTTGGTCGCATGCTCCAACACCATGGGTATTCTGGCAAGGACGCACTCATACAGAAAAATAATGGATGTTCTGAGCAACGCGTTGCCTACGTTGAGCTGACTCCTTTTCCTGGCACTGAAGTTTTTTAATCCCCGAGGTCGGGTCAAGCTCCTGAGGGGTCGGGGGGGGTCGTGACATCCAGGCAGGCATTGAACCTGGCGGCGGACCAAGTTTCGCAAGGTGGCCCCGCCATGACCCCACAGATGTGCCCATGCCTGAGTAACCCCCTCCAGCACTCGACAGCTTCAGGGGAACCACGGTCTCCCCACCTTCGGTCGTTGGCGAAATCAAGCGCGAGAACGGCGATCCTGAGCCATCTGATGTCACATTCCTGACTCCTCCTCCTCCTCCTCCTCCTCCTCCTCCTCCTCCTCCTCACCCTCCTCCTCGTCATCCTCCTCATCCTCTCGGGCGTCGCCAGAAGTGTCGCTGGCCTGCGGTGCCCCCAGGATTTCCAGGGACGCCCACGTGACCTCCAGAGCACCCCTCACAAGCCTAGATGGCCCCAGGGGCTCCAAACTAGCCCGAAAAGCTCGGAGTGCCATGGCTCGAAACCACCAATGGCAACACCCAATCCTCCCCACCTCCTGAAAAGATTCGCCGGCCAGGACGCTCCTTCCTGGCTAAGCCGGCCGCCAACGCCGAGAATGTTGGCTCGAAGGACGCCTACGGGTCCGCCGCTGATGGGGCAGGAGGACGAGCAGGAGAATAAGATGAAGCAGGACTTCGGCCACAAAACGCCTCCACAAAGAAAAACAGGCCCTGGAACCCAAAGGGGGGTCGATGCACATTCTGGCCTGGGAATGCTGGGCTGCGCATCCCCCTGTTAGCCTCTTAGGACCCAGAAAACCCAAGCTTACCCTGGCAGAACGCTCAAACGGTCTCTTGGTGCGCGTCCCTACTGCATTGCCCAAGGACGTAGCCACGTCATCTGAAACGCGTTGGGAAATCAACGAGCCGCCCCGAAGCGAATCATGATTCGAGGGTAATTTTCATGACACCTGCCCTGCGGGTAAGCGCGACTGGCTAGTGTGCCTTCTATCTCCGCGGAATCTTGGAATGTAGTGGATCCGCTGGGCTCCGGCGCCGAGTCCCGAAGTGGTGCTCGCCATGGTGAATAACCGAATGATCCTGGATACGCTTGGTCCAGATAGGGCAAAGCTTGTTGCCCTCCATGCGTTGTCGAGGAAAACCCTGTAAGCGATGGTCGGGGAAAACTTTTTTGCCAGGAGAATGCCGGACTAAATATGTCGTCGGGCCTCTTGTTCTCGACGCGCTCAAGAGGACGACGCCGACACCAACGCAAATCCACAGCAAACCCTACGTCCCGCGCCCCAAGCAGACAAAGCCAGCACCGCGGCAAGCCCTACGGCAAGCCCACCACGCCCGAGGCGGCGTCTGCCCTGGTGTCCGCGGCGCCCTCTCCAAGACGTACGGCCGCGCGTATGAACAAACGGCGCGGTGACATCTACACTCGAGAAGGCTGATACAGGAAAACTCGGGAAAGTGGCATCAGGGAAATCCTGGGGCACGAACGGGAGGAGCGAATCAGTAGCTATCCTAAAGGACACGCCCTGCCCTGATCAGCCAGAGCTCTGGCCATGGGCACCCCGGGAGGAGGGGTCTCCACCCTCCCCTCATCGTCGTTCGGAGTCGCGTACAGCAGAACGGTGACCCGGTGACTAGCAAAGGAGCAGCAAGCAACCGCACGGACACGGAATAAGGTCAGGTTTGCCGCATAACGAGGCGACCCGACGCCGCACTCCCCCACAAGCGGAAAGCATCAAATTATGCTCCACGGGCGACTTGTAAGCACCTCAATGCGTTGGCGTCTCCCGAAGCGTCGTCAATCCTCAAATGGTAGGGTGACGGGGTGCTGCTGTCAGAACCGCAAACGCATACACTGTACCGTATTGAAGCGGTGCCTGAGGTGAGTCCACACATGGCACGGAACACGGGCGCTGTTCTCGTATATACGCCATCCCCATGCCTGGCCATTGCACTCTGGGACCTGGCAGGGTGCATACACCTCGCTGGCCAAGGCCTGCAGGGTACATCTATCTTTATATACACACAGATGTATTACATCGGTATCTATGCATGTATGTATATATGTCTGTGTGCAGCATCCATCGTATATATACTAGAATCATCACGCGCGCTTCGCGCGCGCTCAAGTTCTAGCTTGGCTGGATGGTCGAACTCTTGGATCTCTATTATAAGACACTTCTTTCTGGGGCTTCCAGGAACCACGAGGACGGCCCAAGTGGCTGCCAAGACACGACGGCTCAAGACAAGCCCCCCAAACACTTCGGGGGCCCTTTTATTCGCCGTGGCTTGACGTAGCCGGAGGAAGAGGGAGGAGAAGGGGAGGTGAAGGGGGGGGAGAAGGAGAAGGAGAATGAGGAGGAGTTGGGGTGGAGGAGGCCGCAGAAGACGAGGAACCGGAGGAGGAGGAGGAGGAGGAGGAGGAGGAGGAGGAGGAGGAGGAGGAGGAGGAAGAGGAGGAAATATGATATTTCCTTTTTTGCAAGCGTAGCGAAGCTGCCAGGCGATCTTAAAACGAATCTATTGGAATCCCCGTTTTTCTCAAGTGCTCTCGGGGCCTCTCTCGGGGCTCTTTTGGGCCTCTTTGGGGCTTCTTGGGGACCTCTTGAAGCCTCCTGGGGGTCTACTGGGGCGAAGATCTCGGGTTCTCGGTTATGTTCCCGATCCTGGGCCGCGGTTGGGGCCATCTCGGGCCGTCTTGGGGCGCTTTTGAAGCCTATTGGGCCGTCTTGGGGCGATCCTCGGAGCCTCTTGGGGCGTTTTGCAGCGTCGGGAAGCGGAGCAGGCGGAAACGCCAAAATTGTTCAAAAACATATGGAACATGCATACATGTTGTTGGCCTCTTCGAGTTCTGTTGGAAGACCTCTTGGACGCCTCTTGGGTATATTGGGGGCCTCTTGGGACGTCTGGAGGCCGTCTTGAACGTCTTGTATCGAAGACGCCCAATTACGGCGAATCACCGCCGCCCCCTGCCCTTTTGGAAGCGCCTCTGTAACCGACAGCTGGGCCAGAGCTTGGCCAAGCTATCGGGCCAGTTGTTCCCCGAGTCGGTTTGGAAAGACTTCGGGGAACGCATGGAGGAGCAAGAAGAGGAGGAGGAGGGGGATGATGAGAAAAAAAAGAGTAGGCCTCTTGGGCGCCTCTTGGGGCACTCCTGGGGCCTCCTGGGAGCTTCCCGGGGGCGCCTTGGAAGGTTTTTGGGGGCCTTCGGGGCTTCTTGGGGGCCTCTTTGGTCGTCTTAGGGTGTTCCTGGCTTGTCTGACGCCGTCGAAAGCCGTCTTGGGGGCCTGTCTGGGTTGTCTTGGGGCCCTGTTGGGGCATATCAGGGGTTCTTAGAAGCCATCTTGGGCGTATTGGAGGCCTCTTTGGCCGTTTTGGGGCCCTCTTGGGCCGTCTTGGGAGCCTTTTGGGTCGTCATGGGGCCATCTTGGAAGCCTCTTGGGCGATCTTCGGGGCCTCTTGCGCCGTCTTGAGCCGTCGGAATCTCGAGAAGAAGCAACTGCCAAAATCTGTGAAAAACTAAATGGAAATCAATGATTTGGGCCTCGTCGTGCCCTCCTGGAAGGCCTCCTAGACGCCTTCTGAGCCGTCTTGGAAGCCTCTTGGGGGCCTCTTGGGCCGTCTTGGGCCATCTTAGGCCGTCTTGGGTGCATCTTGGGCCGTCTTGGAGGCACCTTGGGGCCATCTTAGCCGTCTTGGAAGCCATTTTGGCCGTCTTGGAAGCCCCTCTTGGGCCCTCTTGGGGCCGTCTTGGGGGCCTCGTGGGCCGTCATGGGGCCATCTTGGAGGCCTCGTGGGCGATCTTGGCGGCCCTTTGGGCAGTCTTGAGCCGTCGGAATGCCGAACAGAAGCAAATGCCAAAATTATTCAAAAACCTAAGGAATATCAATGATGATGGCCTCTTCGGGCCCTCCTGGAGGACCTCTTGGAGGCCTCTTGGGCCGTCTTGGAGGCCTCTTGGGGGCCTCTGGGCAGTCTTAAGCCATCTGGAGGCCATCTCAGACCGTCTTGGGTGCATCTTGGGCAATGTTTTGGAGGCATCTGGGGGGCATCTTAGCCGTCTTGGAGGCCATCTTGGGCGTCTTGGAGGCCTTTTGGGCCGTCTTGGGCCCTCTGGGGGCCGTTTTGAGGGCCGTCATGGGGCCACCTTGGAGGCCTCGTAGGCGATCTTGGGGCGATCGTGGGGGCCTCTTGGGCCGTCTTGAGCCGTCGGAAGGCCGAAAAGAAGCAAATGCCACAATGAGTCAAAAACCAAGGAACACCTGATTTTGACATCTTCGGGCCCTCCTGGAGGACCTCGTGGAGGCCTCTTGGGCTGTCTTGGAGGCCTCTTGGGGGCATCTTGGGCCGTCTTGGGCCATCTTGAGGCCATCTGAGGCCGTCTTGGGTGCATCGTGGGCCGTCTTGGAGGCGGCCATCTTAACCGTCTTGGAGGCCATCTTGGGTCGTCTTGGAGCCGTCTGGAGCAGGAGAAACCCTTTGGAACCGGCTCTGGAAGATCCTTCCGGGACCCCGGCGGGACGCGCCGGAGCCCAAGAGGGAGTTCTTTTGGAAAAAAAAACAAAACCAAAACCGAAAGGATCTAGCACGTCAGGCACCCCTGCGATGAATCGACAGGGGGCGTCGGACCATCTAGTGGCCTTCGGCCCATCCCGCCACCGTGGCTGGGTTTTGGTTTAGAGGCCTCTTGGAAGTTGGTTTGGGATTCGTGGGAGGCCTCCCGGGGGCCTCTTGAAGGCAGTTTTGGATGCCTCTTGGGGGCCGTAAGGGATTCTCTTGGGGCCTCATTTTGGGCCTATTCGGGGCCTCGTGGGGCCTCTAGGGGGACTCTTGGGCTCTCTTGGGGGCCTCTTGGGACCTCCTGGGGGCCTTTTGGGGCGGAAGGCTCGAATTGTTAGTTCGTGGCCCCCTCTTGGGGCCGTCTTGGAGCCCTCTCGGGCGATCTTGGGCGCCTATTGGGCCGTCTTGGGACTCTTGAGCCGTCCTGGCGCCCTCTTTGGGTGCCTATTGGGCCGTCTTGAGCTGATTTCTGGGGCCTCGTGGGCTGTATTGGACCGTCGGAAGCACGAAAGAGCGAGAACACGAAAAACCTTCAAAAACCTTCGAACAAAAACTACTTTGTTCGCCTCGTGGGGGCCTCGTGGGAGTCCTTTTGAGGGCATCTTGGCCGTCGCGAGGCCCTCTTGGGCTGTTTTCACGCCATGTTGGATCAATATTGAAACGCTCTTGTGCGGTCTTGGGCTCTCTTGGAACGGTCTTGCGCCCTCTTGGACGTCTCTCGGGCCCTTTCGTCGCCCCCCTTCCCCTTCTTTGCCGCGCTCTGGCGCCCCCCGACGGGTCCAAACCGACCGGGTACCGAATCAGTGAACTCCAGGGCCCCTGGGAACCCCTCCCCATTTGTTATATATATATAGAGAGAGAGAGAGAGAGAGAGAGAGAGAGAGAGAGAACAAAAAAGAGAGAGAGAGAGAGAGAGAGATACACAGAATCCAACATCCTGGGGGTGGCGGTGGCTTTGCATAGTGATCGTGTACATCGGAAGAGTAGGCTCCCCCCCGGACCAAATCCGCTCAACATCTGTCCCAAAACACCTCCCAGGGTCCGTGCTGACCCGTTTCTCGACCCGGATCCGACAGTGGCGACGAGAAGCCTCCAGGAGTCCCAGGAACGGACGAAGAAAGCGAGGGGGGGCCGCTGTTGTTTCGACTGGCCCTCTCTTGAGCACAGATGCCTTCTGCGGACCCAACCCCCCCGCGGTCACGGCCTTGACCAGGGCTCGGAAGTCTGCCTCGGGTGCCCCGACGCCGCGCCGCGAGGCAGCCCGAAGCCAGCGGTCGGCCGCGGCCTCGAGCTCCTCGCGTGCCACGGCCGCGAGGCGCCGCAGCGCCTCCAGCAGGCCCTCCTCGGACTCTATCTCCGCCGCCCTCGCCTGCAGCTCGGCGAGCCGCCGCGCCAGCTCTGCCGGCAGCGCCTCCAGCTCCGCCACGCAGCGCGCGCACCCGCAGTCGAAGCCCTTCGCGCGCCTCAGCTCGGCCTGCCGCTCGCCGCGCGGCGCCAGCGGCGACAGGTAGCGCTGGGTCACTTCCGCGCCTGCGGGCAGCGGGCGCGTGGCCACCAGCGCCACGGTGCGCCGCGTGAGGGGCACGCAGCAGGCGGACGGCAGGCAGGAGTGGTTCACCAGCGAGACCAGCGGCCAGATGCCGGACACCTCGCCGCCGCCCTCTGGGGAAGAGGCGGAGCCCCGCAGCAGGCCGCCGGCGTCGCGCTCGGCGGCGGCCCAGAGCCTCTTGGCGGCGCGCACAGGACGAGAGGGGGAGGGGGGAAGGCTTCTTAGAAGGAGGCAGCTTCTTAGAAGGCGCGGGCCGTACATCTACAGATTACAATAGGCCCGGGCCTTCTAAGAAGCTGGGTTCTTCCAAGAAGCCTGCCCCCCTCCTCCTACTCCCCTCTGCGCGTGGCCGAGCCTGTCTGCGCGAACGGCGTTGAAGCGGAAGATCTGGCACATGCGCTCCAGGCCGAGCCCTCCTGCGTCGGGCGCGCACGCCGGCGCCTCGGGATGCGGAGCCTGGAGAGGTACAAGGGCACCGCTGCCGCTGCTCCTCGGCCCTCTCCCCGGGCGCGTTCTGGCGAGGAGTTCGAGGCGAGTGAAACCGTGTCGGGCGGGTGGCAATGGGGGTGACCTGAACGGAAGGTGAAGATAAGTACCCTAAAGGGACCCTTTAGGGCCCTTCTGGGACCCCCCTTGGCTCCAAATGGGACCCTTCCAGGGCCCTTCTCTTCACCCCCCGTATGCAGGTTCCCCCCCATTACCACCCGCCCGATCGAGGCGACGGAGGCGCAGCGGGCATCGGTGCCTCCTCCCTCCCTGCCCTGAGCACCTGCCCGAAGAGCTCCCGGGGCGGCACCCCTGGGCTGCCGGAGCCGTCGTGGAGGGCGCCCAGCTGCAGGCGCTGGCGAGGCGTGGCCTCCGCGAGCCAGGCCGCCGCAGCGCGTGCCGCGTCGGCCACGGGGAACAGGCACAGCGCGCGCGAGACGCCCAGGACCTCGCCGGCCTCCACGGCCCTGGCCGCCACCACACCACGGCCCCGACCCGCCAGCAGTGCCAGCTCGACCGCGTCGGAGATCCACTCCTGGCGGCGCAGGAGCTGGCACGACCCATATACACTCGGCGCTCCGCGCGGACTTCTTGGGTCGGCGCTGGCCCCCTCCCTGGCGCACACCGCGCGCCGAGGACGGCGCCGGAGGCGCTGCCAGGGGGCTCCAGCGCCTGTCCAAGGACTCCGCGCGGACCTCCGGAAGTTTATGCTTATGCCATGGTTGTTCCTCGCACTCCGGCGGCTCACTCTCCTCCGCGGCAGAGTACCTCACGCCGCGGCTGTGTGCGGCCTCCGCCTCCGACGCGGCCGCCGCGGCCCGCGCCTGCTGCAGATCCTGCAGGTAGCGCTCTGCCGTCGGAATGGCGCGAGAGGCGACGGGCTCCATGAGGCTCCTGCCGTCGAACCTGCCAGCGGCAGCGCGGGCCTTCGCGGCGGCACTGGCGCGTGCTGGGTGTGACCCGGCGTCTGGCCTGTCTGCGCAGCCCACAGATGCCTTGCGGAAGACGTGCAGCGCAAAGCTCGTGCCTGGCACGGGCGTCGCAGCCACTCGCGGCTCCACCGCAGGGCGCAATGCGTGCATGGTCCGCCGCAGTGGGCCGTAAGACGCCTGCTCCTCCGAGGCACTCAGCAGGAGCCCCCCGGGCCAAAGCGCGGCAAGGGCCATCTCCCCAAAGGCGCAACTATCGCGCGCTGCCAAGCTGTCGAACACCTCCAGGTCCAGCAGGACATCGAAGCGGTCGTCAACATCTCGCGTCCCCACCGCCACGGCCCACGCCTGGGCCCCTAGGCTGCTGAAGAACTCGCCGCCCAACCTGGACAGCTCGGCGGCGCCCGGGGCGATGCGACGGACCGCCACATCGTCCACGGGCGCCTCGAGCAGCGCGCGCTGCGCTGCGAGACTGATATCGGCGGTCAACCTCTCAACATCAGAGGTGCCGCCCAGCAACTCGCCTCCGGCTGGCGGCGCGAGCACCAGCAAAGCGGACCCGCTCCGGCCCGCACCAGCCTGGACGTCTGCCAGAGCAGCACAGACCTCCCTGCACAACCAGTCCGCCACGGGCAGCACCTCGACGCAGTCGTCTTCAGACGGGCTGTCGGGCTCTTGCGCCGCAGCCGCCTCGGCCAGTCGTGCACCCTCCAGCTCTGCCTCCGGCACCTGACCGACCCAGGCCGCCAGGGGCTCCGCGCCAGCGGCCGCGAGCGCCTCGTCTGCAGACGCACGGGCGGCGCACCACGCCACCTTGGAAAAACAACAAATGCCCATGATTACCGCTCCTCGGTGGGCCTCTCGTGCGGTGTGCTCTGACCAGGGCTTCGAGGCGAATCCAGCAGTGGCGACGAAGGAAGGGTGGCGACAACGGCACCTTTCCTCCTCTGACACCTCAGGATCGGCACATGGGGCAGCTGGCCCCGCAGACCCCGCTGAAGCCGCCGCCGAAGCGTGGTGCTCCGCGCCCACTGGCTCGACGCGCTCCGGAGACTCCCGCGCGTCACCCGTCGCCGGCGCAGCGGAGGCCGCCGACGGCTGCAGCACCAGCTCCCCGCTCGGGCGAGCGCGCTCCGGCTCCGTGCTCGACGGAGGCGCGGCCTGGGCCGTGGCGCCAGGACCAGGGCAGGAAGCTCGGCAAGCCTGGGGGTAGGTCGGGCATGTCCTCCTACAAGCGGATTTGGCAAGAAAAATTTAAAACAATCCAAACATCGAAAATAGTCCAAAGAGCATGAAGAAGCGTCACCATATCATTCTTTTACGTCTTCTTGAAGTCTCCTCCTGTGGAAGGACATGCCCGACTGCAGGGAGCCTGGGGCTCCGGTGTCTGCTCGAGGCCCTCCATCGGCGGCCGCCGCGCCGCTGTGTCCCGGCGCTCCAGGCCCGCGCCGGCGCACGTCCCCGCTGGGGCCGACGGGCAGGGGGGGTCCACCTCAAGGGGCCCATGGGACACGCAAGAAAAAAGACACCAATCCCAGGATCCCTATTTTCTATATTTTCTGGATGTTCGTCTCCCCTCCCACGTAGAGGAACAAAAACGGCATAAACATAAACTTTTGGAGGTCCGCGCGGATTTCGTGGATCCGCGCCGGACCCTCCTCCCCAGTCCGCGGAGCGCGCCAGGGGCGGCGCCGCAGGCGCCGCCAAGGGGGCACAGCGCCGATCCAAGAAATCCGCGCGGAGCGCCAAACGTTCATGTTTACGCCGTTTTGCCCTTCTTTGACACTTTCTATATTTTCCCATACTCTGGGTTTCTTAATCAGCGTGGGGTGGGTACACCCCCGACGGGGTCAACCTCGGCTTGTCGTCGCGCCGCGACGGGGATCGGAGCGCTTTCGGCTCGCGGTGGCTGCCCGCGACGGGGGTCGATGTGGGGCTGCCGGCGGGGGTGACGCCCCCCCGACGCTTGTCAAGAAACTCGATGATGATGATGATGATGATGATGATGATGATGATGATGATGATGATGAGGAGGAGGAGGAGGAGGAGGAGGAGGAGGAGGAGGAGGGGGACGATGATGGTGACGATGATGCTGATCATGATGATGCTGATGATGATGATAGTTGGTGATGGTGATGATGATGATGATGATGATGATGATGATGATGATGATGATGGTTTCTCATATGATGGTGATGATGATGACGATGATGATAATGGTGATGCTGAGGATGGTGATGATGATCATCATCATCATCAGTACCATCATCAGTATCATCATCGTCATCATCACAATCATCATCATTGCATCATCATCACCATCATCAACTGTCATCATCATCATCATCATCATCATCATCATCATCATCATCATCATCATCATCATCATCATCAGCATCAGCATCAGCATCAGCATCAGCATCATCATCATCATCATCATCATCATCATCATCATCATCATCATCATCATCAACCATTCTCATCACCATCATCATAAGCCTCCTGGGGATTGAAGGTGCTCTGGGTCTGTGTGTGCTTCCCCTCGTGACGGCCTCCTGGACGAGCGGCGGCGGCGGCGCGGCGGCCGCGGGTCCGTCCTCCGGGGGTGCCCCGCGGAGGCCGCCCCCGCTGGCGAGCGCGGAGGGGTCCAGGAGCTTTTCCATGAGCAGCATCTTCTCCTCCAGGGGCATCGATCGGGGAACGAACATAATGGCATAAGCATGAACACTCGGAGGTCCGCGCGGGTTTCTCGGATCGGCGCTGGATCCCCCTCCCTGGCTCGCGGCAGGGGCGGCGCCGGGGGCGCCGCTGAGGGGGTTCAGCGCGGATCCGAGGAATCCGCGCGGACTTCCGACTTGTTATGCTCATGTCATGTTTCGTTCCCCCCAATCGAGGGGTCGATGCTGTAGAACTGCTGCAGCGCGGCGGGGCTCTGCGACATGGCCTGGAACAGCCGCGACCCCTCCGCGAGCATGCCCCGGCCGCCGCTCCGGGCGTCCTTAAATCTGTCGGCGTAGTCGGCGTCGTAGACTCGCACCACGTCCAGGTGGCGCTCAAAGTCCACTGCCAGAGCCTCGACGGCGGCATCCGATGCCCCCGCGCTGTCCGCCTGCAAGTCGCGCAGGGACAGGAGCCCCCTGGCATGGTAGAGCGCATTCCAATGCACGATGTGGAACCTTGGCACCAACAGGCGTGTCAGGCCGAGGTGCTGCCTCACTAGTGACGCCACGCGGCGCCAGACTGACGCCTCCAACAGATCCCCGCCGGCCTCGAGCTGCTTGAACAAGGCCAGCGTGCCTGTTGTCACCGCGAACTGAACCATGTCTTGCATGCACCTGTGCCCAAGCGCCGGGCGGCGAGCGCGACCAGGCTGGCTCCACTTCTCCACGAACAGCTCCGCCTGCTCGAAGGTCCTCAGCAGCTCGCGGGCGTTGGATGCTTGTCGCACAGACTGCTGGTCCAGGCGAGCCCGCTGCGTGCAGAGCATTGCGTGCTCCTCCACCCATCGGCAGCCCTGGGCCTCGCAGAAACGCTTGTGTGCCTTCCAGCCCGCCCTGAGGCACGACTTGGAACAGAAGTAGACCGCCTTGCACCGGCTGCAACGCTGGAGCCCTTTCTCGGTCGAGCCTCGATCCGGACTCGGGGTGGCCGATGCCACGACCATCAAATTGGCTGGCTTCAGCCACAAGCGCCTCTCCTCACCCTGCAAGGCCATGGCGACCAGTGCGCGGCCATCGCCCCGCGACTCGACGACTCGCCCGTGCAAGCCATTGTACTGCGTGGCGGCCAGCTCCGAAACCTCCACGAGGTCACCAGGCCTGGGAGCGGCAGAGCCCCCGCCGCAGTGCTGGCAGCACGCAGCGCTCTCAAGCACCCGGCCCAACTGGCAGGCGTCGGCGCCCCCGCTCCGCTCGTGACGGCACAGCGAGCAGCGGCACTGGCCACCGCAATGCTTCTCTATGCGCTCCGAGCGCGCGCGAGGTTCCGCGAAGAGCTCGTGGTAGGAGATGCGAACGACCGCCGCCGAAATCTGCACCCCGCCACTACTGGGTATGGTCTCGGGGGGCATGCCCCCCTTCTCGCTGTTCAGACTGCAGTTCCAGGCAACAGCGATCCCTCAGCGATGCCTTCGGACATGACTGACGCCCGCAACACGCTAGTACCTGCGCATCATTCCCGAACAACCAAACGTATTTCGCAATGGTAGTTTAGGCGGCGCGTCCGGGGGGGAAGCGAGGAAGGGCGGGCCTTCTCAGAAGACTCGGAAGTCCACAGGCCTTCTGAGAAGTTTTCTAAGCCTTCCCCGAAGACACAAGAAACCTCTCAGAAGGCGCGAAGGCTTCTGAGAAGCCCCGCCGGTTTCTGAGAAGGCCTTTTCCGTCTCACTTCCCCCCCTCGCTCGCCGCCGATAGTATCCTCTCACCACACGAACTAGATTGGGACTGACCGTGAACTTCCGAGTTCACACCGAAACCATGGCAAGCGACTAATTCGTGCTCTGGTCGAGGCCAGTCGCGGCCCACAGAGTGACCAGGCGCTCACGGCAAATTGCAGTATGGACGGCGACTCGTCGGAGCTACTCTCGGACACTCCAACAAACGCCAAGCGCCAAGCAAACCGCGCCACGCACCTGCACGCCGCTCGGGGACACGACACATGCGTTCCAAGCATTCAGAAGTCCACGGGGAAGAGAACGGACACCAACATACTTTCAAATGGCCAACGGGCAGTAGCTTCAGAGCGTGCCGCGCCTGCCCGGTACGACCCCCTGGCCCTGGCCCCCACAGGTCGGCTACATGCAAGAGTGACCCTGAGCAAGAGTGACCTTTGGTGCGCGGCCCCAGGGGGGGTCGGGCGCTTCGGGCAGTCTTTAGGCGGCCATCTTGGGGGCCTGTTGGGCCGTCGTGGAGCATTGGGAGACCGAGAAGGCGAGGACGCCAAACTTCTTCAACAATCTTTCGGGGTTCGATAATTTTGCCTCCTGGGAGCCTCTTGGGGGTCCTCTTGGAGCCCTCTTGGGCTGTTTGGGAAGCCTCATGGGCCGTCCTGGGGTACTGTTGATCGTGTTGGCCCTAAGCTGCCGACGGAGACCCTCACTGGCCATCCTGGTGGCATGGAGGAGGTGGCGACCCCCTCCGTGGTGGCCCCCCTTGGTGTTGCCTGGCACTTACACCAGCGCCACACCGCATCGCGGACTCAAATACGCAGTGACCCTTTGAACAACGCCGAACTTGGGAGCGTTTTTTACAAATTAGCCTGGCGAAGGACCCAACCATATGCAGTTGTGAGTACCGCAATTCTGAATATCTTCTTCGGTGGAGCCCCCCATGGGGCCACGAAGCGCTGTACTGGGTGGGCGAAACGCAGGGAGCAAGGGCTGTGCAGGGTGGTGGCTGACGCATGCGGGCGGTGCCACTGAGACCTTCGGCGGAGCTCCCTATGGGGCCACGGAGCGCTGCACTGGGTGGGTGAAACGCAGGGAGCAAGGGCTGTGCTGGGTGGTGGCGGACGCATGCGGGCGATGCCACTGGGACCTTCGCTGGAGCCCCCTATGGGGCCACGAAGCGCTGTACTGGGCGGGTGAAACGCAGGGAGCAAGGGCTGTGCTGGGTGGTGGCAAACGCATGCGGGCGGTGCCACTGGGACCTTCGCTGGAGCTCCCTATGGGGCCACGAAGCGCTGTACTGGGTGGGGGAAACGCATGGAGCAAGGGCTGTGCTGGGCGGTCGCCGGCGCATGCGGGCGGTGCCACTGAGACCTTCGGTGGAGCTCTCTATGGGACCACGACGAGGACCACGAAACGCTGTACTGGGTGGGGGGGGGCGCATGCGAGCGGAAGACCTGGAACCTTCGGTGGAGCTCCGTATGGGGCCACGAAACGCTGTACTGGGTGGGTGAAACGCAAGGAGGAAGGGGAGGAGGGCCACGAAACGCTGTACTGGGTGGGGGGGACGCATGCGGACGGTAGACCTGGAACCTTTGGTGGAGCTCCCTGTGGGGCCACGAAGCGCTGTACTGGGCGGGTGCAACGCAGGGAGGAGTGGGAGGAGGGCCAAGAAACGCTGTACTGGGTGGGAGGGACGCATGCGGACGGTAGACCTGGAACCTTCGGTGGAGCTCCCTGTGGGGCCACGAAACGCTGTACTGGGTGGGCGAAACGCAAGGAGGACGGGGAGGAGGGCCACGAAACGGTGTACTGGGTGGGGGGGGACGCATGCAGACGGTAGACCTGGAATCTTCGGTGGAGCTCACTATGGGGCCACGAAGCGTTGTACTGGGTGGGTGAAACGGAAGGAGAAGGGGGAGAAGGGCCACGAAACGCTGTACTGGGTGGGGGGGACGCATGCGGACGGTAGACCTGGAACCTTTGGTGGAGCTCCCTATGGGGCCACGAAGCGCTGTACTGGGTGGGTGAAACGCAGAGAGGAGGGGGAGGAGGGCCACGAAACGCCGTACTGGGTGGGTGGGACGCATGCGGACGGTAGGAAGGAGGGGGAGGAGGAGGAGAGGAGGAGAGGAGGAGAGGAACGCGGGGACCGTCTCTTCAAAACGAGGACCCAACAACACAGGTTGGTTGAGAAAAAAGAAGAGAACAGAAACGATCCTCAAACAACAGATCTGCACCCCGGTAGTGGCAGGGGTACGGACATCGCTGGCAGGATTGGGTCCCCCGTCGCCAGGTCCCTGGTGGCCTTGGTGCGTCGGAGATTTCGATCGCCTCGCGCGGCTCGCGGATCGCTGATCCGACCGCCTCGGCTGCAACGATGTTAACAAAGGTCGTTCCGAACGTATTGAGACTCGATGCTCACCGATCTGCAGAGCGGCTCAACAGCTGCGACCGAATCCGCCCATGCCTGATACTATGAGCTGAGCTCGCAGCAACAAGCTTCACCTCAAGTCGATCGTCAACTGGCTGCTCGCCAGTACCGAGGATAGAGAAGCACGCCTTCTCCTCCAGGCTGGTGGCGCATGCGTGGTTCAGCATTGCCAGGGCATTGAACACCTTACAGCTAGGCACTATGCTGCTGCCTCTCCCCTTCGAGACTTCGTCGAGATCGAAGCTGCCCTCGCGACGCACGTGGGGGGACACAACTTCTCGATCTGGGCGCGCTGCCAATCCATGATTACCCAATCGACTGCGGGTGAGCAGAGAGCACGATCAGGGAGGCGGACGAGCAGGAGAAGGGGAGGGGCTGCGGGCGGCCGCACTCTCGCGCAACTGGATATCTCGAATGTCGCCGCGCTGTTAACCGCTCTGCGGTGCAAGGCAGAGGCGATCATACAGGGCAACACGGGGAGGACAGGGACAGGAGAAATTAGCATAGCTGGGCGGGCAATCTTCTGACCTAGCCCCAGGACGCCATCACTCTCGCTGCAACAAGACTTGGGCCGCCCTGCACGTGACTCCCATCGAACAGCGCAGACTCATCTCGCCAACCAGCACCCCCTGGAAACCCGAAAACAGGCGATCACTGAAATCCGTGTCACATTGGAACGAACAAGCCCGAAAGAGATTTGAACCTCGTGCCACCCGATGCTCTTGGCTGCCCCGATACGCAACATGCAACGCGTAGCGTGTTGACACGGAGCTCGACACGCAGACCGAAAACGCAGGTCTGGCGCGATATGTTCGCCAGCACGTGGGCCAACACGTGCCGAGCCAACACGCAACGTGTCGACACGGACGTTTTGAGCACGGTACGTGTTGCGTTTCAAAAAGGGCGTATCGAGGCAGCTAAGCCGGTGCTCCTTCCCATCGGCTGCCCCATCCGGAGCCAGAGCGGTCTGGCGGCACCGCGCACTTGCCCCCGAAGGTGAAGGAGTTGGTCTCCACTTCTGCCAGGAAGGGCTGCGCCGCCAGCGCCTCGCGGGCCCCGTGGTCCCGACCCTGTTCCACCAGTGATGGCGAGGTGCAGGGCACGCGGGAGAGCTGAGTGGGCAGAGATTCCCTGCAAGATGCCGCCTGAAGGGGCCGCTCAGAGCTTGAATCTGTTGCAGCCATTCGATGAGAGGCCTGGATGTGAAGTGGGGGGCGCGAGAATCGACGCCGACTCTCCCCACCCCTCGGAGGCATCTCCTACGAAACTGAAGCCTCATCGTCTCCCGTGCCTCGCCCGTTTTCTGACGAATCATCTACACTGGCTGCTTCCCTGAACCCCCTTCTACGTCCGATCATGTCAGCCCCAGCTGGCTTTGCTACTCTGCGTTTTCGTATGCTGTCTTAGTCGTGCGTTCTGGAAAAAAAAGATTATCACGGCTCGTCCCAAATTAAAGCAGACAGTTGCACTCGTTCGCGGCGCATGATGAGTGGTGTTGAAAAGCAAGCTGGCCAACCTGACACTTGCTTAAGAATGTGTGTAGCGGGCTCCAGGCTCATTGCGTGCAAGCTTGTCATTTGAGCTGGCTTGCATATCAATGAGCCTGGCCTTCTGTTATACACACTTGCTTTTCGCGCGCATCGCGGCCACGCGTGCAGCGACGCATGCAGTCGGGAGGAGATGCCGAATACACACACTCACACACACACACACACACTCAAGTCAGCGGCGCAGAGAGTCCTCAGGCGCCAGCATCAGATGGAAGTGCGAACTGCGACCGAGCAATGTCGATAGCGCAGCGTACAAGCGTCGCACACTGCACACAGACACACACCCACAGACACACACCCACAGACACACACACACACACACACACACCATTTTTTGGTCGGCGGGGCGAGAGCGAACCTCTTCCGCTAAAAGCTAGGCGGGCTACGCACACACACACAAAACACTCACAGAAGACTCACAACATACACACACACACACACACGCCTACACACACACACTTGTTGGGAGCCGCGGCCACGCGCGCGGCGTCGCGGCGTGGAAACGATCGGAGAGGCGCGCGCACCGGGGGACCACGCCAACGGGGAGAGGCCGGATCCGCCCCCGAAAAGAAGATCGACAGCGTCACTCGCCGGGGGGGGGGGAGCCGTGCGGGGGCAGACGGGGGAAGGTCGGGGGAAGAGGAGCACGGGAAGGCGAGGGAGTGCGACAGCACAGACCTCACACGCACGCGCAGGAGAGCAAGAGAAGGAGCTTTTCGCGCGTGCTCGAGCCGACGCTGGGAGGTGGAACGAGGGCCGAAGAGGGAAGAGGAGACTACGTAAGGGAACGAGTGAGGGAGGGAGGGGGGAGGGGGAAGAGGTAGGGAAGGAACAGAAGAAGAGAGAGAGCGGGAGGGAGGCCTGGGTGTGGCGGAGGGGGGGAGGGATCAGAGAGAGGGGAGAGAGGAGGGAGGGAACGACGCAGGGAAGGGGCGGGGGGGGAAGTGGAGAGAGAGAGGGGGGGATGGAGAGCAGGGAGGAGGGAGGGAGGGAGGGCCGAGGGAGGGGGGAGGGATCGAGGCGGCGGGAGGAGAGGCGAGGCAGGCACGAAGGGCGGCGCCCCACCGCTTCACTCGCCGCCCTGGCGTGGGGGGGGGCCTCGGGCGAAAGGGAGGCGGCGGCCAGGTTCTGCTCGCCCCGCAGCAGGTCGAAGCGCTGCGGAGCGCGCGCCACCTCCTGCGCGGCCTGCCTCGGGGAGGGGAAAGGCAAGCGGCGCGCGAGCGGCGAGAGGAGGCGGATCTGGCGTGAGGAGGCTCACCGACCTCACGCCGCGGCCCCCGCGGGCCGCCAGCGTGTCACACGGCGTGGACAAGAGGGCGGTGACGCGCAACCTTGCGCGGGAAGCTTACGCGCGGATGTCCGCGCAGTCGACTCCGCGTTCTTCCTGCGGTCGCGTGCGACCAACAGAAGGCGTTTGGTGGCATCTCCTGGGATGTCCTTCGTGGGGGGCGATTGAGTGCTACTACTGCTACCCAAATTCGGGGGGGCACTGAGCCAGATTAAGACTTGGAACAAGTCGGACTAGCTAGAATTAAGCTGGATTGTGTTGGATGAGGCCTGGGTAGGACGGTATCCGAACGCGGACACGTTTACCAGCGCCGATGCTGAATTCAACATCCTTGGACTTGCAACCGAACCAACGTTCGAATGTCCGCACGGATTTCTTAAATCGATCCCACCTGAACAATCCGTGCTTCCCAAGGCCTGTGTCCCAAGCCGTTGATGCCCCCTGACCTCCGACGCCGCTGCTTTGTCGCTCCTGTCGCTGTTGAACAACAACAGCAACATCAACAGGCGCAGACTCAGACGGAGACGCAGGGGGGCACCCTCGAACACTAGTGTTCATGTAGGTTGCGTGTCTTCTCGGCGGCCAGCCCGGGGGGAAATGAGCGGGGGCGAGCCTTCTCAGAATGCTCGGAAGTCCCCCAGCTTTCTGAGGAGTTGTCTAAACTGTCCCCGCTGACACAACAAACTCCTCAGAAGGCACGAGGGCTTTTGAGAAGCCCCCGCCGCCCTCTGAGAGGGCCTGCTCATCCTCCTCGCTCCTCCCCTCGCTCGCCGCCAATCACTGGCCTGGCGTTGTCCCTCACCAGCGGGCGCTCCACCAGCAGCACGTCCCCCGCCGCGAAGGCGCGCCCCGCCACCAGGCAGCGGCCCTCGCCAGGGGAGCCCAGCATCGAATCGACACGTCGGATCGGAAGTCGAGACGACTCGGATCGGCGGAAATCGGCAGCCGAGTCGGAAAAGTCGAATCAGCAGAAATCGGCAGGCTAACGTGTGCGTCCAATACAAAAATCGGAACCCAAATCGGAATCCAAAGTCGAAGCGAAGCGGAACCGGAATCGATCGACACCGACTCAAAACGAACAGGAGGAATCGAGATTGACGGGCGAGTAACGGTATAACATAGACGTTTTCGCTGTCGGGGGCGCCTGTCCCAGAGCGGCTGGAAAGTCTCTGCCCTGACGGCGGCACGTCGAGGTACAGACTGTCCAGCCGCCCATGGGGCAGCGCCCCTGGTCACGGACAAGTTCACGTGTTGTACCGTCCCTCGCCCGCGAACGGAGCGAGCCCCGCCTCGCCGGGCACCTCCTCGAGCCCGAGGCCGGCGCGCTCGATCTCGGCAAGCCCCACGGGCATGCCGCCGCCGCGGCCGCGGCAGCGCCGCGGTGGGGGCCGCCGCCACGGCCCGCCTCGCGTCGCCCCATGGCCACGCGGGGCGCCCGGCGAGGCCTGAAGCCCGAGGCCTCGTCTGCGCGACCTCCTCCTCCTGCTCCTCCTCCTCCTCCTGCTCCTCCTGCTCCTCCTGTTCCTCCTGTTCCTCCTCCTCCTTCACTTTACCTTAATACGTTTGTATCAAATGTTCGCTGGACGCGATGGAGCTCGCTCCATGCTCTGAATCAGCCTGAATCAGCCTCCTCCTCCTCCTCCTCCTCCTCCTCCTCCTCCTCGACATCCCCCTCGGTATCCTCGACATCCTCGGCGTCCTCCGCCTGTGACTGCTCGGCATCCTCGGCATTCTCCTCGGCATCCTCCTCGACAGCCTCATCGGCATCCTCGACTTCCTGCTCTGCCTACGTCGGGGCTGGCGGGGGGGCAGAGACGGTACCAGAGGCCCCGTCCACAATGCGGCACGCGCGCAAAATACCCGAGGCAGCCCTCGCAATGGAACCCAAGCTGGTAACAACGCTGGCAAGACGATGCGCGCTGGGGGCCATTTGCTGTGGTCGGGGTGAATTTCTAGGTAAACACGCGGGCCATACGATGCACGGCGAAAACTTCCAGAAGCGTTCGGAGCGAGCTGGTTGGCATTAACCATACTGGCAACACGACGTGCGCCAGGAACGAGCGCGTGCGCTTGAAGAGAGCTTCCAAGCAGTGACGCTGGCCACGCGACGTGCGCAGGGAGCGGGCACGAAAGCGCGGAAACATCTTCCTGAAGACAACAGCACCGGCGTCGCGATGTGCGTGCAGAGTCGCGAGCGAGCAGCGAGCAGACGCGCGGGCACGGATCCGGCATGAACTTCACTGGGGGGGACCTCCGCTGGCCCGCACCAGGAGTCCGCCACCCGAGCGAAGGGTCGATCAAACCCAGCCCCCGGGGCACCCCCCGGGGGGTCCGTCCTGGCCGGTTTC